TCCTGTGGTATGATCGCCAGCCGCACACCCCCCCTTCCCCACGCCACCCCCACCCACCCCCATCGCTTCCCCAAGGTGTCTCACCTCCCATATCTGCGCGTCACTGTATTCCCTGGCAGGATCCAGGTTCATTCGAATAGACCCCTGGAACAGAGTCGGGTCCTGCGGTATGACCAACAATCTCATGACCCCCCTCCTCCCCTCCCCACCCTCCCCCCTCCCCTTCCCCAAGGTGCCTCACCTCCCATATCTGAGCATCACTGTATTCCCCGGCAAGGTCCAGAATCATTCGAATCGACCCCTGGAACAGTGTCGGGTCCTGCGGTATGATCGCCAGCCGTACACCCCTTCCTTCCCCGCCCCCTCCGCTTCCCCAAGGTGCCTCACCTCCCATATCTGAGCGTCACTGTATTCTCGTGCAGGGTCTAAGTTCATTCGGATCGACCCCTGGAACAGAGTCGGGTCTTGTGGTATGATCGCCAGCCGCCCCCTCAGGTCGCCCAATCCGATGCTCCCAATGTCCACGTCATCAATCACCACCCTGCCGCCCGCCGGCTCGACCAATCGGAAGAGAGCGGCGACGAGCGTTGACTTGCCGCTGCCGGTGCGGCCCACAATGCCGACCTTGTGCCCGCCTGGGATGTTCAGAGTCACGCCCTTCAGCACCATTGGCAGGTCTGGCCGGTACTGGACCTGGGGAAGGGGGAGGTGGGGAAGAGAGGGAACAGAATTCTTGGCTGACTTTGTTGACTTGCCGCTGCCAGTGCTGGCAAGAGTGCGGCCCACAATACCAACCTTGTTCCCGCCTGGGATGGTCAGAGTCACGCCCTTCAGCACCATGGGCAGGTCTGGCCGGTACTGGACCTGGGGAGGAGGGAGAGGAGGTGCAGGGCAGGAGAGATAGAGCAGAAGACTTGGTTGACTTAGTTGACTTGTCGCTGCTGGGGTGCGAGGCGAGCTACAGGCTGACCTTGTGCCCTCCTGGGATTGGTAAATCTCGAGGAGACTTTTGAGTCGACTCAAAAGTCACCGTTGACTTGTCGCTGCAGGGGTGCGAGGCGAGCTACAGGCTGATGAAGGCCACCGGCCGAAACGTGCGTACGCTCAGGTTTGAATGAAGATTTCTTACCTACTCAGTCCCTACTAGCCTATAGCTCAGCCTAGAGAAGATTAGGACGAGTTACCTGTTGGATCCAGGTCGAACCTATTTCTGTATGCGAGCTACAGGCTGACCTTGTGCCCTCCTGTATGGGAGTGACTTTTGAGAATTCTCAACAGTCACTCCCATATTGCGGGGTACAGGCTGACCTTGTGCCCTCCTGGGATTGGTAATTTCACGCCCTTGAGCACCATGGGCAGGTCTGGGAACACCACCCGCACCACACTGAGACCCCTTAAGTCGAGTTTTGAGTCGTCTCAAAAGTCGACTTACCTTCAGCACCATGGGCAGGTCTGGGAATGGAACACCACGCGCACCACACTGAGACCCCTTAACCCACACACCCACCTGAAGGCCTTCAAACTCCACCCTCCCCTGGTGCGGCCAATTGGGGGAGGACGAGGGGCGCTTCAGAGGGCACGGCGGGGTGGGAGAAGTGCAGAATCCACCCCACTGATACCATCTGGTTCTCCATGCCCTCATCACACTGGTGCGGCCAGTTGGCGGGAGGGCGGTGGTGGGGGAGGACGAGGGGCGCTTTGGAGGGCACGGCGGGGTGGGAGAAGTGCAGAATCCGCTCCACTGAGACCATCTGGTTCTCCAGGGAAAACCACGCCCACAACGCACTGAACCACCCTCAACCCACTCATCACAACCCAACAAACCACCCACTGAAACCCCTCAAACCACACCCACCGGGAACCTGTTTTTCTTTAAGCGCCTTAGAAATCTCACTCACCTGAAGATCCTGAAACTCCACTCGCCCCTTGTTCGGCCAATCGGGCCGTGGACGGTGGTTGGCGATAACAAGAGGGGCTTCCGAGGGCACGGCGGGGTGGGAGAAGTGGAGGATTCGCTCCACTGACACCATCTGGTTCTCCAGGGAGCACCACGCCCACACCACGAAGAAGAGCGCTTGCGAGAGCGCAAGGCCGTAGGAGAGGGACATGCCTGCTAGGCCTGGGGGAAGGGGGGGGGAAAGAGGAGATGACAGGAGGGCGAGGAGGAGAGGGCAGGAGGGCGGGGGACCGGAAGAGGAGAGCGCGAAAGATTCAGGTGATGTGGGCGGAGAGGAGAAAGAGTAGGAGAGGGGGGGATGAGACTAGGCACCCCAGTGTAACCATCTGTGGGACTGAATGTGGAGGGATTGTTTGTTGCAACGTGTAGAAAGTGAAATTTTGAGACGTCTCAAAAAGTGGAACCATCTGCGGGATTGTATGTGGAGAGATTGTTTGTTGCATGGCAAATTGGTTGTAACCTTCACAGGTTACTGACTGGTACGCGCGGTGTGCCTGCCTAGTAGGGGTAGCAGCAGCGTGAGCATGAGAGCAGAGAAGCAGAGAAGCAGCGACCCCAACAAATGTGAGCGCACACTGAGACAGATCACCTACACGAGCTCACACTCTTTCTCACAGTATCCCTACCTGGTGACACCACAGACGGAGGCAGCAGCGTGAGCATGAGAGCAGAGAAGCAGAGCAGCAGCGACCCCAGCAGTTCCAGGAGAAACCCAAGCCACTCCACGGCGCCTTTGCTGCAGAACAAGCGGCGATTTTTGAGGCGCCACAAATGCTGCAGAATGCCACGTGCGTGTTGCTGTCCAACCCAGCACAGGTGTGTTTGTCAAGCACGTTCACACTCATAAACAGATTGTTTTTGAGAATTCTCAAAAACAATCCCCAGCACAGGTGTGTTTGTCAAGCACGTTCACACTCATAAACAGATTGTTTTTGAGAATTCTAAAAAACAATCCCCAGCACAGGTGTGTTTGTCAAGCACGTTCACACTCATAAACACACACGACCCCTCAATTGGTCCTTGTATTTATCCCCCTCTCGCTCCCTCACACTTAGCCTGTCCCTACCTGGTGACACCACGGAGGGAGGCAGCAGCGTTAGCATGAAAGCAGAGAAGCAGAGCAGCAGCGAGCCCAACAGCTCGAGGCGGAAACCCAGCCACTCCACGGCACCTCTGCTGCAGAACGAATGCTGCAGAACGCCACACATGGTCCACCCCAATAGAGGTGAGCACGTGGATCGTGTACACACACACACACCCTCTCTCCCTCTCACACTCGCACTATCCATACCTGGTGACACCACTGAAGGTGGTAGTAGCGTGAGCATGAGCGCAGAGAAGCAGAGCAGCAGCGAGCCCAGCAGCTCGAGGCGGAAACCCAGCCACTCCACGGCGCCTCTGCTGCAGAACGCCACGCGTGTGTTGCTGTCCACCCGTGCTGCACTCGTGCGTGCGAACCGAGATTCTTCACCAAAGGCCCGGATCACCGCTGCTCCGGCTAGCGACCTGGGTGGGTGGGATGGGTGGAAAATGAGGGAGAGTGGTGGTGAGTGCAATAGAGACTGTGAGTCAAAGTGACACTTGGGGTTACAGAAACGAGACCCCAGTGCAGTTCATCTCCACTCCTTTTGAGTCGACTCAAAGTGACACTTGGGGTTACAGAAACGAGACCCCAGTGCAGTTCATCTCCACTCCTTTTGAGTCCACTCAAAGTGACACTTGGGGTTACAGAAACGAGACCCCAGTGCAGTTCATCTCCACTCCTTTTGAGTCGACTCAAAGTGACACTTGGGGTTACAGAAACGAGACCCCAGTGCAGTTCATCTCCACTCCTCTCCTCTGCTGCACAGTGCCACGCACGTGTTGCTGTCCACCTGCGCTGCACTCGTGCGTGCGAACCGAGATTCTTCACCAAAGGCCCGGATCACCGCTGCTCCGGCTAGGGATATCTGGGTGGGTAAAGAGAGGAAGAACTGGGACACTTGGAGACTTGTTGAAGTGATTGATAACTTCAACAAAGGAGTCCCATCCATCCAGGCACTCGGTGAGTGGATGGCTTGGGACTCGGTGACGCCATCCAGGCGAGGCATATAAGAAAGGAGTTCTTGGACGATTATTCAAGTTAAGCACTATTCATGCATGCACTCACTCGCTGAAGTGCTCGATGATGGGCGACTTGGTGATGCCATCCAGTCGAGAGAGCTCCCTAGACGTGGTCAGGTAGTACTCCTGGCGGATAGGGAGGGACACGTGGCATGCAGTGAATGGGTTGAATGTCAGGGCAGAAGACGGAGTTGTACGGAGCAGGTGGGAGAAGTGAGAGAGAGAGAGAGAGAGAGAGAGAGAGAGAGAGAGAGAGAGAGAGAGAGAGAGAGAGAGAGAGAGAGAGAGAGAGACACACACAAGCAAGAGCAGCAAGCGGTTACCTGTTCCGAGAATGAGCAGAGGGAACTGGTTGCTTACCTGATAAGAGAAGTAGAAGTAGGCAAGGGGCACTATAGCAAAGAGCACAGGCCAGGTGATGAAGGAGGTGACTGAGAGGATGCCGAGCAGCTGGAAGAGAAGAGAGAGGACCGTGCCAAAGCGGAATGGGAGGTCTAGATCCACTGTTGCCTGGTCTGTTGACGCCTGTGGGAGGGGTGAGGGAGGAATGAGGTGAAGGAGCGGAGAGAAAGGGGCCAGTGAGGGGCCCAAACACAGGGGGTGACTGAGAGGATACCGAGCAGCTGGAAGAGCAGGGAGAGCACCGTGCCAAAGCGGAATGGGAGGTCTAGATCCACTGTTGCTTGGTCTGTTGACGCCTGTGGGTGGGGTGAAGGAGGATGAGAGAGAAGGAGAGAGGAAGGAGGAGGATGGGGGCCAAACACAGCAGGTCTTTTGAGGCGCTTCAAAAGGATGGGGGCCAAACACAGCAGGTCTTTTGAGGCGCTTCAAAAGGATGGGGGCCAAACACAGCAGGTCTTTTGAGGCGCTTCAAAAGGATGGGGGCCAAACACAGCAGGTCTTTTGAGGCGCTTCAAAAGGATGGGGGCCAAACACAGCAGGTGACAGTGAGAATGGCGAGGAGGAAGAGAAGAGAACAGTGCGAAAGCGGAATGAGAGGTCCAGATACACTGCTGGGGTAGAATAGAAGAAGCTCATGCGGCCTTCGAGCCCCCATGGCTCGGAACACAGCCCCCATGGCTCGGAACACAGCCCCCATGGCTCGGAACACAGCCCCCATGGCTCGGAACACAGCCCCCATGGCTCGGAACACAGCCCCCATGGCTCGGAACACAGCCCCCATGGCTCGGAACACAGCCCCCATGGCTCGGAACACAGCCCCCATGGCTCGGAACACAGCCCCCATGGCTCGGAACACAGCCCCCATGGCTCGGAACACAGCCCCCATGGCTCGGAACACAGCCCCCATGGCTCGGAACACAGCCCCCATGGCTCGGAACACAGCCCCCATGGCTCGGAACACAGCCCCCATGGCTCGGAACACAGCCCCCATGGCTCGGAACACAGCCCCCATGGCTCGGAACACAGCATGCCGCATGCGGGCAAACAGGGCTTGGGTTGGGCCGTCTCCCAACCCATCCAGGACACGGCTACTGTGCGCAGCAGCACACAGAGCACACTTCCCAGCGTCAACAGCATATAAAAATCACCGCACAGCGCGTACCAATACTAACCGCACTGCTTTACTCACCCGGGAAAGCACTCTTCCTGCAGGAGTGGAGTCAAAGAAGCTCATGGGCGCCCGAAAGACAGCGTGCAGCATGCGGGCAAATAGCGCCTGCGCTGTCTCCCACCCCATCCAGGAGACTGCCACCGTGCGCAGCAGCACAAAGAGCACACTGCCCAGTGCCAACAGCACGTACACCCGCAGAAAGCCCACCGGGGAGATGGATGGAGCTAGCAGATCGATGGGGGAGGAGGAAGTGGTGACAGAGAAGGGGATTAGAGAAGAGGGAATGGTGGTGGAAGGGGGGGAGGAGGAGGAGAAGGAGGAGGAGAAGGAAAAGGAAGAGGAAGATGAGGAGGAGGAGGATGTGTAGGTGGCAAGCCACCAATCAGAGCCGATCTGCAGCGCCTGCCAGAGGATCTGGACCAATAGGAGTGCAGGGATGGGCCAGCATCCAAGGGCTGTGGTGAGATACGCCCAGTACACAGCAAATGCCACGCGTCCCGATGACCTTTCCTCCTCGCTAATTAGCTGGCCCGTTCTCGCCTTCGTACCACTCTCCTTGTTCTTGCGCCTGCTAGTGCTGCTCTTTCTGCTGCTGTTACCATTCCCGCTGCTGTGCTTCTGCCCTGTGCCTGTTTCCTCGTCCTCCTGCCTCTCGACCACCCTCACTTCTGCACACTCTTCCTGCTTCCCTTTGCCTCGATCGCCTCGTGAGGCTCGCCCCACGTCAGATGAAGCAGAATAAATGGACGAGGGATGGGTGAGCGGAGCAGAGGAGGAGGGGGAGGGAGTAGGAGAACCTGCATCCGCAGAGGCAGGTGCAGCTTTAACAGCAGATGAGGCATATTTAGCAGCAGCAGCAGCAGCAGCAGCAGCAGCAGCATCACCATCACCAGCAGCACTAGCAGCAGCAGCAGCAGCGGGACCAGCGGTGGTGGTGGTGGTGGTGGCAGCAAGGGAGTGCATGGCATCGGTGTGAGCGTCCACGAGGGAGGAGAAGTCCGTTCCCTGTGCCAGCAGGTCCTCATACCGCCCACTCTGCAGGATGCTCCCTTCTTTCATCACCTGTGCATGTGCGAGGGAAGAGAACGGAAAGACGAAGGGAGGGAAGGACAAAGACTGCATCAGTGGCATCAGCAGCACGTATGGATACGAGGGAGGAGAAGTCCGTTCCCTGTGCCAGAAGCTCCTCATACCTAGGAGAAGTCCGTTCCCTGTGCCAGAAGCTCCTCATACCGAGGAAAAGTCCGTTCCCTGTGCCAGAAGCTCCTCATACCGAGGAGAAGTCCGTTCCCTGTGCCAGCAGCTCCTCGTACCGCCCACTCTGCACGATGCTCCCCTCTTTCATCACCTGTGGGGGGTTGGGAAGGAGACGATGGTGGGGAGGGGCAGGAGGGGAATACGCATCAGTATGTGGGGATACAAAACAGGAGAAATCCGTTCCCTGTGCCAGCAGCTCCTCGCACCGCTCACTCTGCACGATGCTCCCCCACCTCATCACCTGTGGAGCGGAGGGAGCAGAGAGAAGGAGGCGCCAGTGAAATCAGTATGTGGGGACACAAAAGAGGAGAAATCCGTTCCCTGTGCCAGCAGCTCCTCGCACCGCCCACTCTGCACGATTCTCCCCTTCCTCATCACCTGTGGGGAGCAGCAGTGGCGTTGGCAGAAAGGGAGTGCATGGCATCTCTATGAGCGTCCACAAGGGAGTAGAAATCCGTCCCCTGTGCCAGCAGGTTGTCATACCGCCCACTAGGGTTGAGCAAAAAAACGAACACCTGTTCGGTTCGCCTGATGCTCACTCTGCACGATGCTCCCCCACCTCATCACCTGTGGAGCGGAGGGAGCAGAGAGAAGGAGGCGCCAGTGAAATCAGTATGTGGGGATACAAAAGAGGAGAGATCCGTCCCCTGTGCCAGAAGGTCGTCATACCCCCACTCTGCACGATTCTGCCCCACCTCATCACCTCAGTGTGTGGAGAGAGAGGGGGGGGTTGGGTGCGGGAAAAAAGAAGCAGCCGCCAGTGGCATCAGAACACGTGGCATCGGAACATGTGGCATCGGAACATGTGGCATCGGAACATGTGGCATCGGAACATGTGGCATCGGAACATGTGGCATCGGAACATGTGGCATCAGAACATGTGGCATCGGAACATGTGGCATCTACCCTAGCCTCAACAGAATCAAATCCTTGAAACAAGTCAACAGAGTCAACGGATTCAATCAAGGGGCGGCACCAGAATGAGGTGCATGGTTGGCAGGCAGGTAGGAAGGTCACCTGGTGTGTGTCACCAGGCTGAAACATACTCTAACCAATCAAATGAGTCAACAGAGGCAACAGAGTCAACAGAGTCAACAGAGTCAACCAGGTCAACGGGTTCATGCGAGAGGCAGTACCAGAATGAGTTCCATGGCTGGCGGGAAGTCCGCTTGGTGTGTCACGAGACTAAGTTTGCAGCTCGCTGAGAAATCATGTCACAAGAGTTTTGAGTCGACTCAAGGTGACTTTTGAGTCGACTCAAAAGTCACCATGCGTCACGTGACTAAGTTTGCAGCTCGCTGAGAAATCATGTCACAAGACCGGCTGGCGGGAAGTCCACTTGGTGTGTCATCAGGCTGTTTGTAAGCCAAAAGAGAAGAATATGTTCTAAACAGCTCAATCAAATCAACGGAATTGAGCAAGGGGAGGTGGTTACCAGAATGAGGTCCATAGCGGGCAGGAAGTCCACTTGGTGTGTCACCAGAACGACAGTCTTCCCCGCCAGGCCCCGCAGCACACACTCCTGCCACGAGGGGAGGAAGGAAGGGGCAGCGAGGGGGGAGTGGGAAGGTGGGAATGAGGTTCATGGCCGGCAGAAAGTCCACTTGGTGTGTCACCAGAACGACAGTCTTCCCCGCCAGGCCCCGCAGCACACACTCCTGCCACGAGGGGAGGAAGGAAGGGGCAGCGAGGGGAGAGTGGGAAGGTGGGAATGAGGTCTAGGCAGGCAGGAAGTCCACTTGGTGCGTCACCAGAACGACAGTCTTCCCCGCCAGGCCCCTCAGCACACACTCCTGCCACGAGGGGAGGAAGGAAGGGGCAGCGAGGAGGGAGTGGGAAGGTGGGAATGAGGTCTAGGCAGGCAGGAAGTCCACTTGGTGCGTCACCAGAACGACAGTCTTCCCCGCCAGGCCCCTCAGGACGCTGGCACGAGGAGAGCAGAGCGGGAAGAGGGGAGAGAGGAGAGGAGGAAGGTGGGGGAGTTGGAAGTCTGCCTTTCTTTGAGGCATATCGAAACAGTTCTTTCCACACAGGCCCCTCAGCACACACGCCTGGAAGTAAGAATCTTTTGAGGCGCCTCAAAACATGCCTGGAAGTAAGAATCAAAGGAAAATGATGAAAATCGTTGCTTGTGTGGATAGGGGGTATTGGTATGTAGTGGTACTGTGGCAGTGCTGATCCCGAGTGAATCAGCAAACTCACAGTGAAGAGCTGCGAGCCCGTGTGAGCATCAACGGCACTGAACGGATCATCCAATAGAAACACCTCCGCATCACCCCCTTGCCCGTCCACTCCTCCTTGCTCCTCCGCAACCCCGGTTCCATCCGCCCTCTCCCCGTGCTTCCCTCCTGCTTCTCCATCTCGCATGCCTCCCTCAGGCCCCCCTTCCCTCGTTTCCCCTCCTCCCATTCCCCCTCCCCCAGTCCCCCCTCCCCCAGTCCCCCCTGCCTCAGTTCCCCCTCCCCCCGCATACATTGCCCGGGCCAGTTGTATCCGCTGCTTCTGCCCGCCACTCAGGTTCACCCCCCTCTCGCCTATCTGCGTGGCGTCCCCGTGGGCTAGCAGCGCCAGGTCCGGCTGTAGCGCGCACTGCTGCAGCACCCGGCTGTAGCGCGCCCGGTCCATGGGCTGCCCGAAAAGAATGTTGTCGCGCACTGTGGCGTTTTGGATCCATGCGGACTGCGGCACATAGGCTGTGCGGCCCGCCAGGGTGACCTGGAATTGGCGCAGGGTGGAGGAGAAGGTAGGTTGTGTGGGAGATGAGAGGTGGCGCACTGTGGCGTTTTGGATCCATGCGGACTGCTGCACATAGGCTGTGCGGCCCGCCAGGGTGACCTGGAAATGGAAGAATGGGGGAGAGGTGGGGGAGAAAGGTCAACGCGGGGAAGAGGGAGGGTGAGAAAGGAGTGGCGTTCAGGATCCTGGAATTCAGAATCCAGGTGAGAAAGGATCCATGCGGATTGTAGCACGTAGGCCGTGCGGCCTGCTATGAGGACCTGGAGATGGCACAGGGGGGGAAGAGGGAAGGTTGTGGTGGAGCGGTGCGGGAGATGGTGGGGAGAGGTGGCGCACGGTGCCGTTCAGGATCCATGCGGATTGTGGCACGTAGGCCGTGCGGCCTGCTATGAGGACCTGGAATGCCAGAATGTGGGGGGCTGGGGGAGAAGAGAGGTCAACGTGGGGGGGGAAAGGGTTGGGGAGGGAAAGGTGGCGTTCTGAATCGATACGGACTGTGGCACGTAGGCCGTGCAGCCCACTAGGGTGACCTGAAATGCCAGAAGCACACAGCGACTAACGTACCTTGCATTGCTTCACTTTCTCACCTTGCCGCTCAAATTGGGCATTTCCCCTACAAGACACAGACACGCCAACAGTATCGACTTGCCTGCTCCCACCGTTTTCAAGCTTTTTTAAGAAAGCAACACACTTCCCCACAGGAAAAGGTGCCACATCTCACCTTGCCTCTTATCTTGGGCATCTCCCCTAGCAGGCACGCCAGCAGGCTCGACTTTGCCACACCCACCCCCACTGCCTTTGAGATCTCTGAGAAAACAACACACTTCCGAAGGGAATAGACTGTCACATCTCACCTTGCCTCTTATCTTGGGCATCTCCCCTAGCAGGCACGCCAGCAGGCTCGACTTGCCTGCCCCCACCGCTCCACACACAGCCACCCTCATCCCCTTTTTAATCTCCAACTCGATTCCATTCAGTGTCGGCTTGCTAGCATCGCCCTCCCAGCTAAACACACCATTATGCACCCGCACCACCACATCATTTGCCACACCCTTCACGCCATCCCTCCTCTCTTCCCTTCCTTGTCCCCCACTCCCCAGCCCTTCCTTCGGGCCATCCACGCGAGTCACAGCATCGCTCTGAATCTCCTCTTCTAGGAGGAAGGTGGTGACTCGCTTGAGTGACACCATGGCCTGCGCTAGAGCCGCCACCACCGACGGGAACGAGCGCAGCGGCTCCTGTAAGAGGAAAGGGAGACGAGAGGGCGGAGAGAGGGGATGAGAGAGGAGGGTGGTGAAAGGGAGATTGTCGCGGCATCTAGTTTTGAGGCGCCTCAAAATGAGAGGGGATGAGAGAGGAGGGTGGTGAAAGGGGGATTGTTGCGGCAGCCCCAACGAGATAATGAGGTGGTAAACACCCTCACCTGAAGAATGAGGAAGGTGGGGAAACACGCCAATCCATCCGGAACTTGGCGGTAATGGCAGTGAAAACAGACTCGGCACCTTGACAAGTGGCACGAGTACTGATGCCCGCCCCCACTGTCCCCCTTCGATTCCCCCAACCCTGCAATCCCCACCACTCCTCCTCTTTTCGCCCCTTCTTCCCAGTCCCCTCACCCGTAGGATGCGGAAGGTGGCGATGGCAGTAAAAACAGCCCCGGGGGTGAGCGGAACACCCAGGAGCACCATGGCAGGTGGGACTATGAGAAATGCTGAACCCCCTTGTCCCCCTTCACACTCACCCCAACCCCCAATCCCCACTCTCCCACTCTTCCCCACCTTCTCACCTGTAGGATGCGGAAGGTGGCGATGGCAGTAAAAACAGCCCCAGGGGTGAGCGGCACACCCACGAGCACCATGGCGCCGAAGGTCCCCACCGACACGGCCAGAGGCGACAGCCACAGCAGACAGATGTTGGCCGCCCCTATCGCCATGTACCTAGAGAGGGTTGGATGGGGGATGGGGGAAAGAGGGGGGAGAGGGTGGAGAGGGAGAAGCGGGAGGAGAGGGAGAGCAGGGCGGGAGGAAGGGAAGTGGTAAGGAGGGAAGGTGTTAGCCTGTTAGGGAAGGTGGCGATGGAAGTGAAAACAGCCCCCCAGGGTGCGCGGCACACCCAGCCCCCCCAGTTTCCCCAGCACATTACCTGGCAAGCCAGCCGGCCTCAGCACCCCTTAAAGAAGGTGTTAGCCTGTTAGAGAAGGTGGCGATGGAAGTGAAAACAGCCCCGTGCGCGGCACACCCAACCCCCCCAGTTTCCCCAGCACATTACCTGGCAAGCCAGCCGGCCTCAGCGCTCCTGAGAGATTTGATTTGGTGCTCGAAGAAGGGCTGCCAGGCGTACAGCTTGATGACCCGCATGGAGGAGAGCGCTTCAGAGGTGGCCTTCATGTGGTGACTGACAGGTGTGCCTCAGAGGCGACAGCAGCGACCCAACCACCACAGCACTGAAGCGACCCAACCCTCCTCCCTCCTCTTTCCCATCCCAGCACATACCTTGCCAGCCAACTGGCCTCGGCAGCACGCAGAGATTTGATTTGATTCTCGAAGAAGGGCTGCCAGGCGTACAGCTTGATGACCCGCATGGAGGAGAGCGCCTCCGACGTGGCCTTCATGCGGCGGTCCTTGGCTTTAAGAATGTGCCCCACTGTGGCACGTAGAGAAGCTGCTATGAGGAGGTTGAGCAGCAGCGCTGCCACCATCACTGCCAACCCCGCCACCATGCTCGCCCCCACCACCTGGGAGGGGGGGAAGAGGGGAGGGTGGAGCGAGAAGGGGAGGAGTGGGGTAGGGGAGGAGGGGATGAGGGGAGCAGGTGAGAGGGGAGAGGGGAGGAGTGGGGGAGGTGAGCAAGGGAGGAGGGGAAAGCGCCTCAAATGTGGCCTTCATGCGGCGGTCCTTGGCTTTAAGAATGCTCCCCACTGTGGCGCGTAGAGAGACCGCTATGAGGAGGTTGAGCAGCAGCGCTGCCACCATCACTGCCAACCCCGCCACCATGCTCGCCCCCACCACCTGGGAGGGGGGGAAGAGGGGAGGGTGGAGCGAGAAGGGGAGGAGTGGGGTAGGGGAGGAGGGGATGAGGGGAGCAGGTGAGAGGGGAGAGGGGAGGAGTGGGGGAGGTGAGCAAGGGAGGAGGGGAAAGCGCCTCAAATGTGGCCTTCATGCGGCGGTCCTTGGCTTTAAGAATGCTCCCCACTGTGGCGCGTAGAGAGACCGCTATGAGGAGGTTGAGCAGCAGCGCTGCCACCATCACTGCCAACCCCGCCACCATGCTCGCCCCCACCACCTTGGAGGGGGAGGGGGCGAGGGGAGAGGGGTGAAGGGATGGTTGGCAGGAAAAACAACCGTTAAGTCGTATGAGACATCTCAAAAGGGTTGGTTGAGTTTTATCTAAGACGTCTCAAGACAGATTTGATATCAGGCATGGCCATCCGCCTACACACTACTAGTTTTGTCCGAGGCGCATACGCGTCGTGTCGTGTCTCACATGGAAGAGGACAACGAGCACGATCGTTGAGACGTCTCAAAAGAGGATAACGAGCACGATCGTGATCTGCACGGGCAGGGCTTTTGAGGCGCCTCAAAAGTGGAAGAGGACAACGAGCACGATCGTTGAGACGTCTCAAAAGAGGATAACGAGCACGATCGTGATCTGCACGGGCAGGGCAGCACCCACACATTGTGCAGATGCAGCATGAGGTCCGCCAGGCGCTGCACGGTGTGTGTGCGTGCGTGCAACTAAGAACAGCCTTGGTGTGACGTCTGGCACCTTACCCTTCATGTGTATGTGCGTGTCTCACATGGAAGAGGATAACAAGCGCGATGGCGATCTGAAGGGGCAGAACCCACACGTTGTGCAGCTGCAGCATGAGGTCTGCAAGGCGCTGCACGTCTGGCGACATGTAGTTCACCACCTCCCAAACCCCCCACCCCCCCACCGATGTGTGTGTGTGTGTGTGTGTGCGTGCGTGCGTGCGTGCGTGCGTGCGTGCGTGTGTGTGTGTGTGTGTGTGTGTGTGTGTGTGTGCGGGGGGGTGTGTGGGTGCGTGCGTGCGTTCAACCCAACCCAGCCTTGTGAGGCCTCACGCGTTCAGCCTCCTGTGTGCGGGTCTCACATGGAAGAGGATGACGAGGGCGATGGCGATCTGCAGGGGCAGCACCCACACGTTGTGCAGCTGCAGCATGAGGTCTGCCAGGCGCTGCACGTCTGTCGACATGTAGTTCACCACCTCGCCCACTGTGTGCCGCTGCTTCGCCCTGCTCGACAGCCGCAAGCCTTTCTGATACAGCGCTCCCACCAGCGCTGCTCGAATCTCAAGACCCAGCGCCTGAGTGCGAAAGGCAGGGAGGGAGAGAAGATCACAAGACAAGTCAGCCAGAGGCAGTAGGCGCTGCACATCAGTGGACATGTAGTTCACCACCTCGCCCACTGTGTGCCGCTGCTTCGCCCTGCTCGACAGCCGCAAGCCCTTGTGATATTTCCACTAGAGGGCTCCCCACTAGTGCTGCTCGACTATCCAGACCCAGGGCCTGTGTGGAGGTGGGGGGAAGAGGAGGGAAGAAGAAGGAGAAGACAGAGGAGGGGGCCCGCGTGCATGGCCGGCCTGCCCTGTGGCGAGCGAGGGGGGGGCTGTCACATCACACAAACAGAGCTCTCCCAAGCCAACCTGCAAGGGCCTTTCAGCTCTCCACATCCTACTGTGCACCCAACCAACCGTACGCAGGAAAGTTTAGAGAATTTTGAGGCGCCTCAAAAAGTGAGAATTCTAGAAAATCTTCTCCAGCCTTTCAGCTCTCCCCACCCTACTGCGTACCCAACCAACCGTACCTGCACTCCCATGCAACCCCCAGAAAGAGAGAGAGAGAGAGAGAGAGGACTTAGCCATCCTAAAGAGAGCACAACCGCACCCAGCTCCTCACCTGTGTCTGGAAGTTGAACTGATGCCCCACACCCGTTTCTGTCGCTTTAGCCAGCAGCAGCAGCGCCACAAGCGCCACGCCCTCGCCTTGAAATAGCTGCTTGCCCACAGCAACGTCCACAAAGCGGGAGAGCAGCAGCGGGCCCGCGTACATGACCGCACACTTGAGCAGCACCAGCAGGCCTGTGGTGAGGAGGGGGCGCCAGAAGCACGCCAGCAGCGCACGGGCTACTGAGGGCGTTTTGCTGCTGCTGATGCTGCTGGTGGTGCTGGTGATGAAACGGGGGAGAATGGAGGAGCGGTGCTGCTGCTGGTTCTGGTGCTGCTGCTGGTTCTGATGCTGATGCTTGTGCTGATGGCCCGCTAGCAGTGGAGTCGTGAAAGTGGAATCAGCACCACCAGTGCCACCACCAGCAGAAGTATCAGCAGCAGCAGTACCAGCATTACCAGCAACAGCAGCACTACCAGCAGCAGCAGCGGCACCCCCAGCAGCAGCAGTGCCTGCAGTCAGTGCAAGCTGCGTTTGCCAGCACGCATCAAAGGCATGAAACTGGGCCTCACAGCCCTGAGAAGCTGGCAGGCTCGGCACGTCCTCTAGTGAAATCACATGCTGCTTCTGATGATCCCTTGGTTCCAACTCGCTGCTGTGGCTATCCCGCTGCTGCTGCTGCTTCTGCTGAAGCAACAGATTCTGGTTGCCTGTTTCGAGAAGAGGAGAGACCCAGGAGAAAGCGAGGTGTGACAGCCAATTTGCACTGGCGTAGGGAGAAGCCTGCATGTTCCTGTTTCCTTCTTGCATGCACGCTAGCATCTCACATTCCTCATCCTCACTAGTATCAGACTCGTTGTCCTCTTCAGAACAACTTTCGTCTTCAATCGTAAGCAAAGCTCTCCCATTCCGCACCCTACTTCCCAAACCCTCCTCAATAGTATTCTCACCCACCTCCTGCTGTTCCCCCTCCTCCACCATCTCTTCTCCTTCCTCTCGTCCTCGCCTCTCCCCCATTCCTCGGTTCAAACGAGCCCAACCAGGCCTTCCTAGCACACCAACCACCCCCAAGAGAAGAGCCAATGGCAAGCTGCCAAGTGTCAGGAAATCGCTCCACGCTGTCACCTTCTCCTCCTTCCAATCTCGAAATCCAAATCCCAAACCAGACCCCACACCAGCCCCCAAACCAGATTCCAAACCAGATCCAGAACCCGATCCCGAACCAAATTCCAAACCAGGACCGGAACCAAATCCCTCCCACAAATCCGTCCTTTGTCTCTTGCTCCAGAGCCGGAGCAGAATCACCATGGAGAGCAGCAGCATAAGCACAGCGTTCTGAAACAGCCAGACGCGTGCCGACCCAACCACAGTCACATCCCGCCTTCTCTGGAAGAGCAGCAGGACTGCTGCTGCCAGCGCGTACGTGACAGCCTGCCCTGCTGCGTATGCCAGCTCGTGGGGCAATACAAGGACGTGGCCTGTTGCCGACAAGGCGGAAAATATCTCCCATAGAAGCAGCCCCGCCCAGCAGATAGAAGCAGCAAGAGAGAAAAGGAGCTCCGGCCAAAACAGCATGCCTACACGCCACACCTCCCCTCCCCCCTGTCCCCCCCTTTCCCTCCGTTCCTCTCCTCTCTCCCCCTTCCCACATGCCCTGCCTTGTCTCCGTTCCTTCACTCTCCTCTCACCCCTCTCCACCGTACCTGCTGGTCCCTCCTCACCATTCTGTGCTCTACGGGGCTGGTAGTTTGGCTTGGCGCTAGGTTCGGGATTAGGTTTGGGAAGGATGAGTATGTGGGAGAGGGTGGCGAGGAGGAGGAAGGAGGAGAGGAAGAGGAAGGAAGCGTGTTGGAGGCAGGGGGAGAGGGAGAAGGTATGGATCCATTTGGGCAGAAAACTTTCTTTGCCAGCCCATTGGAACGACGCTGATATCTGCTCTAGGGAGCTCCAGGGAAGGGGGAAGGATGGGTGGAGGAGCGAGGGGGGGGCATCCGGGGAAAACGGGTGGAGCTGCTGCTGCTGATGTGGCATAAGGAGATGGTGCCACGTGGGATTCTGGAAGGCGTTGTAATGAGAGGGTGTGAAACCAGATGGTGATGCTGACGATGCCACGAGCGGCTGTGTGACATTGTGCAGTGACATTGCGCGGCTGCTGATGATGCTTGTTTGCTGGCTGTGACTGAACAGAGGGCTGCTGGTGATGCAGGCTGGAGTGTACGGGTCATTCGGGCCACAGAAGCTCGACCAGAAAGCTGCAAATGAAAAGGGCGGAGAGTTGAAAGGGGGAGACAACATTCAGGCTGGCTGTAACAGAACAGAGGGTTGCTGCTGCTGGAGTGTACGGGTCATTGGGGCCACAGCAGCTCGACCAGAAAGCTGCCAAAAAAGGGGGGGAGAGAGGGGGGGGGGTGAGAGGAGGAGGCATCATTCCTTCCACAGGAGGGAGGAAAGAAGGGAGTGACGAATGGGTGTAGGGTGAGGGAATGGATTGAACATCTATCTGGTAAACGTCTGAGACGCTTCTAGATTATGATTACTCGAGGGTGGAAAAATAAACGGGTACTTTTCAAGCAACGCATCCATGACAGGTCTGCTGCATCATGCCAGAATCACTGAATCATGCCAGAATCATTGAATCATGCCAGAGTCACTGAATCATGCCAGAATCACTGAATCATGCCAGAATCACTGAATCATGCCAGAATCGCTGAATCATGCCAGAATCACTGCATGATGCCAGGCCTACTGCATGATGCCAGGCCTATTCCATGATCTCAGACCTACTGCATGACGCCAGGTCTACTGCAAAACCCTTACACAGCCAAGAAGGCAGCCATTGGAAAATAGAACATCGCCAACAATGGAATCACACAGCCAACGGAGCTCATACACAGGAAAATGAAACAGTAAAGAAAATGCGAAGCCAAGAGTCTCACATCCGTTTGCAGTCCAGCCAGGGCCAGTAGCCATGGAGAAGAGGAGCGAAGTGACGAACATGTGAGCACCAGCCAACAAGCTTTGCCCACCACCAGCAGCAGAAGCAGAAGCAGCAGCAGCCGCGGCCGCCATCTGGAAACGGGTTGGAGAATAGTGCGTGACGTCGCCCTTAACCACAATCAAGTGCACAACGGGTAATGATACAGCCAATACTGAATCAACATGTTTATATAAGCGAATTTCCTCTTGAAGGTCATGCGTTGTGCGCTGTGGTCCCGCCTCTAACTGAGCTCTTACCTTGATAAGCAGGTTCCTGAAATTCGTTTGAAATTCTCCAGCAAATTATCGAAAAAGAATTCCTGTGTCTTTAAGACCCCAGAATTTAGCAAAACCATTCCAAATGAACGACTGCGATCAGCGAGAGAAGGCTTCAGCGGGACTTTTGCAGCGGATGGGTGAATTTACAGCTCAACAATAAAATGCGATCAAGTAGTTGATGTCAAGTCCTACTGTAGTAGCCACAAGGACTCGGAGATCTACTAACGTACTAACTTTAGGCCGACTCCCACTAGTGCCACCTAAAGGACGTCCAAGAAAACATTCTGGATTCCTCTGATATCACGAAACATCATAATTGTTCCTCCCTCGACCCTTCCAGCACCATTATACCCTGGCATTAACCTACGTTTCGATCAGCTACCCTTTCTCCGTCTCCTTTGCTCTGTCTGTCCATGGCTATTCCGTTCACGGTTAGGACCTTTTCGACGACAGCAAAGTACGCTGAGGCGCATCTTTGTTGGAATTCTGCACAAAGTAGAAGGCACAGGTGCATCTAACAGGAATCAGCGGTGGATCTCGTGCGAGAGGAGTAACCATATGCACGACACAGCTCAATCGTGCTCGCATGCACGCGTCTCCAGTGGTTGCAGTTCGCGAATGTCTATCGTGTGAGGCTGGACGAAAAAATTGTGGTCAAGGGCCACGCCTGTTCTATCGCACCTGTTCGTTTCACGCCTGTTCCTTGTACGCTGGCTTTACGTGGGTCGAGTCGAGCAGTGCATGTGTGGCTCACGCCGAGAAGCTGCTTGAGGATGGAGGGCGACAAATCAATGGACGACACGTGTGTTCCGCCTTTGCCCAGCGAACACTGCAACCCTTCTCCATCGTGTCAAATCCCTGGGAGTTCCTCGTCGCCGAAATGATGTATCACACAATCCGTACCAGTTACTGTGCATTCTGCTAGCAAAAGCAATGGACCTGCACTCTTCTTCACCGTCACTATCAAATTATCTTTCCCTGTCACCTCTCATGAACCTGAAACACTCAGGGAGAACAGCTGGCATGCCCGAACAAAGAATAGCAACCTTTGATGTCGCTATGTTAGCATAACATCCAACTTTCGAAATAGTCGTTTTCTTTTCTTGGCTGACATTGACTCACTCTCAGAGACCTAATTTACACCCATACCATCTTTATTGCAGGAGACCGGATTCTAGTATTGCACCACGTTGATACCATGGTGTCGCTTTAGGATGTATGTCAGACTGGAATCCCTGTACTACCTATCCACGAGCTCAGTGAGAGGAAATTATTGGGGTAGTATTTGCTGACTTGTGATGATGAAGATACGACGCCAGGTCTCGCCCACGATACTCTTGATGACTGGACGCCACCGCCCTTGCTGCCAAACTCCGCCAAGAATGGCTTCCCACCAAACGTCTCAGAGATTTTCCAAGGCATCCACCCGTTCTTGTTCAGTTTCTGCAAATCCAGTACAGAACAATGCAGAAAATAAAACAACAAATGGGAGGAGAGTTCAAAGAGGGCATCTGGGATTAGCACAAATGAAACAAACCTGACCATTCGCACTGGCAACACAAAGGGACACTACAGCGCAGAAGTGCAACATGATGGTTCCACTCACCGCAGGCAGGTCAGTGTTGATAAACACCATGGCAGCATACTCCTTCCACGGCCGGCCCAAGTAAATGTCGCCATAGTCACCATTCACATCACTGTCAATCACCACAATCCCACACAGCGCTCCGGACTGGTAGCACCCAGAGGCCAGGACCGTTGTCGTGTAAGTTGGAGATTTAAGCGCGTTGAGGGTAGACGATTGCACGACCACGGCCCCGTAGCCAAAAATGAAATCAACAGTGCCCTCGATTATGCAGTTTTTGATATAGTGACGTCCGGTGGAGCAGAAGAGTGTATCTTGGTAGCCGGTAACCTTGACCTGGTACAGTGCAGCCTGATCGGAATCCAGGCGCAGAGCGACGGCTTGTTGTCCAGAGGGACCAGCGGTGTTGCGGATGGTCATGTACTTCGCAACAAAGTTGTTACCATTTACGCCTGGTCGTGAAACAGGTGGAGACGGAGAAAAAATGGGAGAACACAGGCAGTGAAAGAGTGACAGAGACGTGAGAAATTGAAGCGAGGGGGAGATGTTGGCTTGAAAGTGCCAACGAATGCTTGCGCATGGTGATGCTAAGAGAATTAGAACATCAAAGCGTTGCTGCTCGTTTCATATCAGTGGCTTACCGATCGTTGCTGACGTGATTATGTCGTATCCTGACGATACGCTGGCAGACCCAGTAATGATGGTCTTGTCAATGCCATCCCCGATAAGAGTAATCCCCTTCTTGTAAATAGACACCATCTCGTTGTACACTCCAGCCTTGATATAGATGACGGAATTGTCCGGCACCGCATTTACAGCATCCTGTAGCTTCTTATAGTCACCGCTGCCGTCTTGAGCGACCGTCTTATCCGCCTTAGTAGCCGCAGTCCGAACTGATCTGTACCCGGTCTTCGCCCGAATAGGAGCCTTCACGGGACTCTTAGCGGGGCTCTTAGCCGGGCTCTTAGCGGGACTCTTAGCGGGACTCTTAGCGGGACTCTTAGCGGGACTCTTAGCGGGACTCTTAGCGGGACTATTGGCAGGGCTCTTAGCGGGGCTCCTAGGCGGGCTCTTCGAGGTTCCTTGATTGCCCTGGGTATTGCCGCTCTTAACGGTCTTCTGGTTGTCTGTCTTATGGCCGCCCGTTCCCTTCGGGTGGTGTCCCTTGTCCGGCTCATACTGCCCAACGTTCTTCCCTCCCTTACCGCCCACACCCGGAGGGTGGTGACCTACCGGCCTCCCCTTCACGTCTACCTTCGATTTCGGCGTCGGCTTCTTTTTATCCCCGTTACTGGCACTGGCGAGCTGGGATTGGAACACCTCGGTCAGGGATTGGTGCCGGTCGAAAACCTCGCCAGCTGGCTGATACTGATCGGTCGAGAGCGCAGCGGAAAAAGCCTGTTCGATGTTGAGATTCTTGAGTTCAAGGAGGACGGCTCGAAGGGCTTTAAGATCGTCGGCCAGGGCGGCAGCGGCCGTCTGGAGTTGCCCGATCGTCTTCTGGCTGACGGTTTGGAATTTCGCCTGCAATGCAATCTCGAGGTAGTTCTCGCTCGACTGCGCGAATCCGACGGCTGCGATTGCTTCTTTGAGCTCCGTACGGTCGATATTGTTCGGGCCGCCGCGCACGGCGTCGGCTAGATTGCTGGTGGCGGAATCAAGGTTCTTGATGATGAGCGACGCCTGTGAGTGCAGAGAGAGAGGGATGATAGAACCGGAGTGGTTCGAGCTTAACAAACATTCTCCACGTTATCAACTCCCTCGGTAAGGACGAACCATACTCCCTCCATATAACAACGGCTCTAAAGGCCGCAGAACGGGCTGAGGGAGTGACGCCTGTGATGCCTATACAGAAACTCCGTGTAAAAAGGCGAGACCCCTTTCCGTACCTCTGTCAAGACTCCTCGAAAGGCGATGGCGTCCTTTTCTCCGTACGTGACGGCGAAAACCCGTTCGTTCAGCGCCGTCGCCTTGCCGCTCACTTCCTCAAGCAGCTGCACTGCCGCTGTCGTAGGGCTTGTCGCGAGGCTTCTTCTAACGGGACTCGAGGACGCTTGTGACACGTACGAAGGCCTCTTGGCTACTTTGACTCTGGCGAGGCCTTGCGCTGAGAGGCCGACGGCAAGGGCGGACGGTATCATAGCTGATACTGAAGCCAGAAAGAGGAACAGTAACCATTTTGGGGAAAGCCTTTGAATTCCCGTCGCCATTTTCAGGAGTAAACGGTGAATGGAGTGGGTTGTATGTAAAAGGGTATGTTTGCGGCGAATCAGTCGGTATCGGCGCTGCCTGTCAGGATCAGATTTACCAGGCCTTCCAACTGCTGAGAGTTACGATCGTCTATATCTGACCATGGTCGAAATGTCGATCAGAGAGAGGGTCGGTCAGACGATCAGGTGAGCCCTGACGAGAAGGGTTTCGCAAAGATGCAGGGGAAAAAATCCACTAGCTTGGAACTGAATGGTATAAATTCAAAGGTGCTAAGGAAGAAAATATTTGCGTAGCTGGCTTTTGCAACGTCGTTTTGAGCAAGCTACGCGAGCAAGCGAGTAGCTTTCAGTGAGATAAAGTGCGTTGATTCAGGACAGCTGGCCAAGACACACCAGTGTAGTGGTGAACGAATTCAACTTTCGCCTTGGCTTTTGACGTTTGCCGCATCTCACGGAAGCCTTGGCATTGACAATGGCACCTTCGCCGCCAAGAAGCAAGGGGAACGAGGCAGCGCCCGTTTGCCACACTCAAAAGGAGTTCTCCGGGAATTGCGGTGGGGAAATTCGAAGGCGAACCTTAGGATGATGGGAAATGGCGCCGACGCGGGCGTGATAAAAATGATGCACGAAGGTGGAGCTTTGGGAATTTCGAACCGCGACGGAACGGAAAGAATAGAGCTAATGGTGACCTGACCAATCATCGATGCATGGGTATTTTTCTGGATGGTTAGATTCTGGACGTGGACAACGAATGAACGGTGAGATGGAGGTGATGGGACATACCTGTGTTGGTGGTGTGGACGTGATTGGGGTCGCTAAGCGGTCCGCGCATGATTGGTTGGCGGTTTGACGTTTGTCCAAAACGCGATCCGTTTAGAAGCAGGCGGGAAGCTCATCCGTTAATTGCCTCTCTCACGCAAGCCTCAAATGACCGCTTTGAAACTCACGAAAACGGACTTTTGCGTCTTCAGGCATACTCGCTACGGGACACATCGTAGTTACACAAACGTATTTTGAAGATACACTCCATTGTGATATGATATCGTGGTAGTTACTGTGATCCCACAAACCTTGGAGACCACCAAATTGACAAGCCACGTCGCACACTGACGCGCCTTCAGCTCAGCTTCGGCCTGTTTGATTGGTTAACTACAACTGATCGAATCAAGAGTTCTCCAACCCAGGCACCTTGGAATTGGTTCATCCTCACAGCCATTGGCAGGGCTCAGCGAATCACAATATACAAACGTCACTGAATCTGTCCAGTGGCCTGTCAAGTGTCTGACGGCATCCGAGAGCACATGACGGAGTAGGGACGAAATACGGCAGTGAGGATTTCTAGAGCCAGAGGCAACTAACGAGGTCCATTCAGAGTTCTCGTCACTGCCTGTGGGTTTGTGTTGACTACATTCGCACGAATCTATCATCCCGCCGCTCGTCATTAAATCAAACTCCAGAGTAAATAGGTCGGCGTCTGCACCGAACCTCGCCAGGGCTCAGTCAACGAATTCTGACAGTTAAGACGTCCGACAAAATGCACGCGTCCCCATCACCGTGCTTACCGAAATCATTACCCTCTGCTTCGAATCCGAGAGCTCCTGTCCTCAATTGCTCATTACCCAACTCTGCTTTCACGGGACGCATTTCAGGGGCGCCAGGAACAGGAGGTAGCGCCGCGAGCATCGCAGCGGCAGCCTCATTTTCAGGGCACGTGTCGCTGTACGATAGGACGTCTGCTGCTACGCCAGCTGCAGCGTCAGCTGCCGCGTCAGCTCCTCGCGCGCCGTTGCTGCTAGTGGAGTGTAGACGCGGGAGGTCGTCGCCTTACGACAGAGATAGAGGGGGAAACAGAGATGGAGAGGGAAAGAGGGAGAGAGGTGGCAGCAGGGAGAGAGGCGGGAATGGCGACGCGGGGAGGAGTGGCGGACCGCTGGGTGCGGGTGGCGATAAGGCTGACGTGGCACAACATCCGTACGCGATAAAGATAGTGACTCCACCAGCCAGAGAATTGGGGATTCATTGCCTGCCTCCGGTGAGCTTCTAACGAGGATCTTTGATACGTTGGAGGTAAAGCAAGGAGTAGCAAGGAGTGGTAAGGAGTGGCAAGGAGTGGCAAGGACTGGCAAGGAGTGGCAAGGAGTAGCAAGGAGTGGCGGTGGAGATAGAGGGCGAGAGCTACGTGGTGCTGAGAGTGACGTACCCTCTATCCCACCCTCTCGTTCTAAATTCCCTCCTTTCCCCTCCAGAACACGCAATGTGGCGAGACAGTGGAGATCAAGGGTGAGAGCTACGTGGTGCTGGGAGTGACGTACCCATTCCTCCACCTTCTCGTTCCAAATGCCCCTCCATTCCCTCCTCCAGAACACCCAATGTGGCGAGACGGTGGAGTTGGAGGGCGAGAGCTACGTGGTGCTGGGAGTGACGTACCATCTATCCACCCTCTCACTCCAAATCTCCTGCATTCCCCCCTCCAGAACACGCAGTGCGGCGAGACGGTGGAGATAGAGGGTGAGAGCTACGTGGTGCTGGGGGTGACGTATCGATACCGGCTGCACAAGGGCCGGTACACCGCCAGGGAGCGACAGCTGGACGTGCAATCCCGAGGAAGGTTCCTCGTGAACATGTACCTCACTGACATGCTGGATAGGTCGTGAGATAAGAAAGCTTGTCTCACGTATAGGGGCTGGCTTGCAGTCATAAGGTGCAGAGCATATGAGTAAGGCGGGTTCCTTGTCAATATGTATCTTACTGACATGCTGGACAGGTCATGAAACTGGTGCTGTAGCCTGCATGCAGTGCGAAAGCTTACAGGCATGAGTCGCAGGGTATGCGGCAAGGTAGTTTGGCAACTGGAGGAAGGTTTCTTGTCAATGCTGGTATTCGTCTCCATCGCGAGATTGAGATCTTCGGGCTGCTCGCGTATAGGAGATGGCTTACAGGCACATTCTGTGTCGTGCAAAAAGGTTACCCCATTGAGCGCGCATATGATGAGGGAGCGACAGCTCGACGTGCAGTCCTGAGGAGGGTTCCTCGTTGACATGTGCCTCGCTGATACCGTATGCTGGACAGGTCGCGAGATACCGTACGAGAATCTGGGTCGCGTTAGGGGTTTGGCTTGCTGTCACGAGCTGCGGGGCATGTGGCAAAGAGGCAGTCCTCCTGAGGAGGGCTCCTCGTTGATATGTTCCTCGCTGATATGCTGGTCAGGTCGTGAGGTGAGGCCACAGGGGGCAATTAGTGAGAGCCAAAGTAGGCAGGGCATGCCATGAAGCAGCAGCAGCCGGAAATTGGTACATGACTCACTGATGTTGTAATGTACTGCCTCCAAACTAACGTAGGATGTGGCTGGCTGGTTGGTTGCGAATAGACTCATTTCTGACACAGCGCTGGCTGGCCTGCACCCGGTAACAGCCCTGACTGTTGTGGTGTCTGACTTTCGCTGGATAGGTCATGAGGTTAATGTACCAGTATCTAAGCTTACAATGTTATTCACATGCATGTGTTACGAGTGCAATTGAGTGAACGAACGAGAATTGCACTATCGAAGCAAGAGTACAATGAGCGAAGGTATGAGCGAAGAATATATAGCGAAACTACAGTGGTAACGGTAATGGTCGCGCGACGAGCCTGGGACTGAGGTTGGGAGAATATCGAAGCGTAGGCCCGGAGCGCGGGTTACCAGCCGAGCCGTGAGGTCGGGATGCGATGTGCGAAAATGGCGGGATGATGAATGATGCGATGGTCGCGAGTGGTAACGGTGCTGACTGAGGTGCTACAGTGATGTACGAGTTGAGCAGGGATGCGAAGTAAGGAAAAGGGAATTTCCTTACAGCATGTTGCCACACACCCTCCATCCAGGTACATACATGACATTTTTTGAAAGTGTGAAACACTTTCTTAAAATTAATAATTTCTAAGCGTTTATCGCTTTCAAATTTGCGTATTGTGAAAACGAAGCTGACTGTAATGCAATTTTGTGCATCGTCGAAGCGCGGTATTCGCCTTCTCCGAATATATAATGTGGGCTGGGGTCATTCTTCCCCCACCCACGTCTCTCATTTTACAATCGCTCAAGTTCAATTCCCACCCACCCTCCCCATGCTAGTCATCTTTTGAGAGTAGAAGAAGTTCTTAGATATTTTGGATGTGGTAATATGTTATTATAATTGCTAGGAACCATTGTACTTGAGCCCATTGTAATGAGAACGATGCCAATTGTTGTAATGAGAACGATGCCAATTGCTACAGAAGCAAGCTTTCTCAATATAAAGATTGTGAAAGCGCAGCTGACTGTAGTGAAGCAAGGCAACTGCAAATGCTTGTTCCCACGAGGGTTGGAGGCCATTTGGCCTCCACCCACGTCTTCATTTCAGAACTTGCCAGTTCCGCTTAGGGACGTTGCCTTGCAAGAACCAGAAAGCAAGCTTTCTCAATTTCAGAATTAATGCGTGCCAGCTTTCTAACCACTTCTGTAAAACACCATAAGAAAGCTGAGCCAATGTGCTATAACTAATATGTCCTAACACCAGCCAGTCCTGCTAACTAGTGACCTTACTAGCAGACTCCTCAACATTCCCTGCCCACACTAATTCTCCCTCACCACCACCATCCCCCTACCATCACTGCGACCTGGCTCTGCTCAGCTCCGCCAGCTGTTCCTCTCCTCACCCAAACGGCCAGCCTCACCCAACTATCCCTTAAGCTGGCATTCTCAGCATTGTCCCACCCACTCAACCCCAACCCCCCTCTCTACCGTCACCGCGACCCGGCCTTGGCTCTGCTCAGCTCCTCCAGCTGCTCGACCAGCTTCCTCTCTTCGCCCGACAGCGCCTTGGGAATCTCCACCTGAACCTTCACCAGATGATCCCCGCGCAGGTTCGGTTTCCCCAGCACCGGCACCCCCCGCTTCGCCATCACCAGCGTACTCCCCGGCTGCGTCCCTGCGGGGATTTTCAAATCCACCGGCCCGTCGACTGTTCGGACTTGCTTGGTGGTGCCGAGAATGGCTTCGAGGTACGAGACTTTGAGGGTTTGCAGAATGTCGGCTCCCTTGCGCTCGAGCTCGCGGTCGGGGCGGACAGAGAGGAAGACGTAGAGGTCGCCGGGGGGCCCGCCTCTTAGGCCGGCGTCGCCCTCCCCTCGCACTCTCAGCCTGCTGCCGTTGTCCACCCCTGCTGGCACCTGGAGAGTGTGAAAGGACGAGGAGATAAAGAAGAAATATGACAAAAAGGGTTTAGAAGTTCGACTGGCATCATTCAACCCACTGTCGCCCTCCCCTCGCACTCTCAGCCTGCTGCCGTTGTCCACCCCTGCTGGCACCTGGAGAATGTGAAAGGACGAGGAGATAAAGAAGAAATATGACAAAAAGGGTTTAGAAGTTCGACTGGCATCATTCAACCCACTGTCGCCCTCCCCTCGCACTCTCAGCCTGCTGCCGTTGTCCACCCCTGCTGGCACCTGGGGGCGTGAGAGGAGACAGAGAGAGAGCACTGGCACAAGTGCATATGTTACATGCGGTGACATGAAAAAGACAACTGTGATGCCACCTGCCGTGGAGGGTGGTAGGGCAGAATATGTTGAAGGTGCCGCAGGGAGTGGAGATCTCGCCACTACCCCCGCACTGCGGGCACGTGGACACCTGCTGGAACATGCCCGCCACAGACACAACCTGCCCCTGTCCCCACCTGGCGTGGATAATACCTACCACCTGCAGCCGGTACCACCTGCCCCTGTCGGTTGCAGGAGAAGCAGGTGGTGGGCATGGTGCCGGGCTTGGCGCGCAAGTGGGGTGCCGGGCTTCGGCCGGTTTTTGAGAATTCTCAAAAAGCAGGTGGTGGGCGTGGTGCCGGGCTTCGGCCCAAGTGCGGTGACCAGCCGGAACGGCAAGGGCATTGAACAACGCATCTGGACCAACGCACGCACCTTAAGGGCGACCTGCTTGAACAACGCATCTGGACCAACGCACGCACCTTAAGGGCGACCTGCTTGAACAACGCACCTCAAGGGTGCCCTGCTTGAACAACGCACCTTAAGGGTGACCTGCTTGGACAACGCACCTTAAGGGTGACCTGCTTGGACAACGCACCTTAAGGGTGACCTGCTTGAACAACGCACCTTAAGGGTGCCCTGCTTGAACAACGCACCTGAAGGGTGACCTGCTTGGACAACGCACCTTAGGGTGACCTGCTTGGACAACGCACCTTAAGGGTGACCTGCTTGGACAACGCACCTTAAGGGTGACCTGCTTGGACAACGCACCTTAAGGGTGACCTGCTTGGACCTGCGCACGCGAGCGCTGCCGCTGCACGTGTTGCTGGGAGTGGAAATCTCCCCACTGCCGCCGCACCGTGGGCTCGTGGTAACCTGCTGGAACATGCCCAGCGGAGTATTCGCCATGGATACGACCTGCCCCTGACCCCACCTGTCCCTACCACCACCTACCCCAAGATTCCACATGTCTTGAAGGGTGACTTGCTTGGACAACGCACCTTAAGGGTGACCTGCTTGGACTTGCGCACGCGAGCGCTGCCGCTGCACGTGTTGCAGGGGGTCGAAATCTCCCCACTGCCGCCACACCGCGGGCATGTGGTCACCTGCTGGAACATGCCCAGCGGGGTGTTGGCCACTGATACGACCTGCCCCTGGCCGTTGCAGGAGGAGCAGGTGGTGGGGGTGGTGCCGGGCTTGGCCCCCGTGCCCTTGCACGTGCCGCAGGCCTCCATGCGCGACACGTCTATCTGCTTCTCCGAGCCAAAGACTGCTTCCAGGAAGTCGATTGTCAGGTCGTACCTGGTTGGGAGTGAGGGGAGGGTGAGAGGGGAGGTGGGGGCGAAGGGGGAGAGGGGCACAGCGAAAGAGAGCAGGGGAGAGGGGGGCAGAGGGAGGGGGGAGTGGGGGAGAGGGGGGCGAGGGGGGAGTGGGACGGAGAAGGAAAGAGATGAGTGAGTGGCATGTCCCCTTGGTGCCCGGCTTGGCACCCGAGTCCTTGCATGTGCCGCAGGCCTCCATGCGCGACACGTCTATCTGCTTCTCCGAACCGAAAACTGCCTCGAGGAAATCGATTGACAGGTCGTACCTGGGAGGATGGGAGAGGGGTGGAGGGAGAGAGGGAGGGAGGGAGGAAGGGGAAGAGGGGGAGAAGAAGGCAGAGGGCAGCAGATGGAGGGGGAGCGGGGCGGGAGAAAGGGGGGGCCGAGGGGGAGTGCGACGGAGAAAGGGAGAGATGAATGAGTGGCAAGTCTCCTTGGCCCCCGTGCCCTTGCACGTGCCGCAGGCCTCCATGCGCGACACGTCTATCTGCTTCTCCGAGCCAAAGACTGCCTCCAGGAAGTCAATCATCAGATCGTACCTGGGAGGAGAGAGGAGGGAGGAGGGAGGAGTGAGGAGGGAGGAGGGAGGAGGGAGGAGGGAGGAGGGAGGGAGGAGAGAGGAGAGGGGGGAGGAGGGAGGAGGGAGGAGGGAGGAGGGAGGAGGGAGGAGGGAGGAGGGAGGAGGGCAGAGGGAGGAGGGCGGAGGGAGGAGGGCGGAGGGCGGAGGGCGGAGGGCGGAGGGTTATCGGCTTCTCTGCCCCGAACGGGGTCTCACCTCCCACACATTTTACCTACCATGCATCTCCCTCACCTTACTCGCATCTCACCTTTCTCGCATCTCACCTCTCGTCATCCCCTTGTACAGGGGCTGTGCGCCAAGCTCCCATTCCCCCCATGCCTCCCATGCCCCCCATTCCGGTTAGTCCTGTCCTCCCCCATCCAACCCTTCCCCGCATCTCACCTCCCCCCTGTCTCACCTCTCATCGTCCCCTTGCACGGGGGCTGTGCGCCGAGCTCCCATTCCCCCCATGCCGCCCATGCCGCCCATGCCTCCCATTCGCCCTCCAAAGAACGTCTCAAAGAGGTCAAACGGGTTATTGAACTCCTGCGGAAATTGGGGAGGAAAGGATGGAGGAAGCAGGAGAAGGATAATGAAATTGCCAGCATCCCATCCCACCCATGCAGCTCATAGGAGGGCAATGTGGGGGAGGGCGATGTGGGGGAGGGCAATGCGGGGGAGGGCAATGTGGGGGAGGGCGATGTGGGGGAGGGCAATGTGGGGGAGGGCGATGTGGGGGAGGGCGATGTGGGGGAGGGCGATGTGGGGGAGGGCGATGTGGGGGAGGGTGATGTGGGGGAGGGCGATGTGGGGGAGGGCGATGTGGGGGAGGGCGATGTGGGGGAGGGCGATGTGGGGGAGGGCGATGTGGGGGAGGGCGATGTGGGGGAGGGCGATGTGGGGGAGGGCGATGTGGGGGAGGGCGATGTGGGGGAGGGCGAGTTGGGGGGGAGGGCGATGTGGGGGAGGGCGATGTGGGGGAGGGCAATGTGGGGGAGGGCAATGTGGGGGAGGGCGATGTGGGGGAGGGCGATGTGGGGGAGGGCGATGCGGGGGAGGGAAATGTGGGGGAGGGCGATGTGGGGGAGGGCGATGTGGGGGAGGGCGACGGAGAGAAGGCAATGGGGGCAGGGCAGCGTGGTGAAGGCAATTAGGCAATTGCATGAGAGAAAAGAGCGATGGAAGGAGAAACGGCGAAGGTGATAGGAGATAAAAAAAAGGGAAACAGCGCAGAGAAGGGAGGAGGGCGACTAAAGGAGGGGAGGAAGTGAGAGAGGGAGGCATACCGAGCCAGCGCCGCCCTTGACACCTGCCTCCCCGAATGACTTTTGAGTCGACTCAAAATGACAGGGAGAAGGGCAAACAAGGGACCAGCACCACGAGAAGAGGAGGGAGAGGGAGAGGACGGAGAGACATACCGAGCCAGCGCCGCCCTTGACACCTGCCTCCCCGAATCTGTCGTACAGCGAGCGCTTCTCATCGTCTGATAACACCTGGTGGCGTGGGGGAGAGGGGACGGGGGACGGGGGACGGGGGAGGGATGGCTGACGGTTAGAGAAGGGTGTGCCGCACTGGCCTTACACCTGACGCCTGCCTCCCCGGAATTGTTGTACAGCAACCCGGTGGCGTGGGGGAGGGGAATCGAGAATGGGACGCGCATAGGGAGAAGGGGAAGAGAGAGGGAGAGGGGAAGTGAGGGGGTAGCGAAGAAAAGAGAGGAAAGGACAGGACAAGAAAACTGCTTTGAAAAACATGACAGAATTCGCAAGACTGCCACACCTTCTACCAGGTTGGGAATGTGTGTGCACTATAGGCAGGGGAAAAATTACCTCATACGCGTTACTGATTTCCTTGAACTTGGTCTCCGCCTCTGGTGCCCTGTTCAGTGTAGCAACGCAAAGGAGCGATGGATAGAGAAAAGAATGAACAATTGGAGTTACAAGTTTTATTAGGATAATGCTTTACTGGTAAACCTGAATTGACTGCTTTCATAATGCACCTGGGCATACCCAAATGAACCTGAACACGCCCTAATACTCACTTGTTCACGTCCGGATGATACTTGCGAGCCAGGCGTCGATAAGCTGAAAAGACAAGGTAGAAGAGAGGGGAATGGAGGGGTGGGGGAGCGGGGGAGGAGGGGAGGGGAGGGGGAAGGGGGTTGGAGTGGGGGAAAGGGGGGAGAGGGAGTGGGGGGGGGGGGAAGGGGGGAGAGCGGGTTGGGGAAAGGGGAATGGGGAGTGGGAAGCGGGGATGGATGGAGGTTAACGTGAGGGAGTAGGAAGGCGAGGCAATGGCCGTGCTGAGGAGCGCTGATAACACGCGACAGCTGGGACGAGGTGCCTTATCAGTCGACTGATAAGGCACCGGTACAGTGCAACACGAGAAGAGGAGGGAGAGGGAGAGGACGGAGGTGCAACACCGGTACTGTACCGCACCGGTACAGTGCAACGGCAATGCAGTGCGGTGCAGTGCAATGCTGTGCTGTTCGTACGTACCGCTCTTTATTTGTGACTTGTCCGCGTTCTTCTCTACACCCAGCACCGAATAGTAGTCCTGCATTGCAGCAAAACGATGATAATACACACGCACATACACGCACACACCCAAAAGAACACAAATGCAATAAGACGTTGCCGCTCGCTAACCTCCGCACCGAAGTAAAGCGCGCACGACGCTCGCGCGTTTCGTTCGCGTTTTGCCCCCTAATACGACTTGTTATGATGAGTCTCTTATCACGCAGAGCACTAGTCCTCCATCATTGTTCCTTGTACGATTTCGACTGATTGTTAGTTTGCCCTTGTGACTATGACGTCGAGCTTGACCAAGCTCGCGCGATGGTTCTCATCTCAATCGAAAACTTCACAAAACGGTGCTCTGATTCGGGAAGTGGCCTGGCTCGGTTGGTAGGGGTCGGTATCGGTAATGACCCAAGTACGTGATGGTCTGACTCATTTTCACACCACCGACTCCCATCGCATAGGATCGCATTTGACCTCTGGCGCGCCGCCTACGACTATCTCCGTCCCACGTATCACATTCTCAGACGCACACCGCCGCATCGCACCGACTCAATCTCCGACTCACCGCGTCTGCGCGGACCACGAGCGCATTTCCCCTCCGCCTTTCCGCCCCGCGACCGGAGGCGGACAGGAAGGCGTTTCTCGTCCCGCCGCTTCCGCTGAAGAATGTCGCCTGAGACGACGAGCAAGCGACGGATGACAGGCTGTTTTGAGGGGGTGGGGGTGAGGGGGGGGGGTGGTGGTGGTGAGAGGAGGTGGTTGGGAGGAAGGAAGGCTGTGGGGGAAAAGGCGGCAAATAGCATGGATCCGCAAGTGCATGAGAAGAAAATATGAAAACAGAACCACACATCTCGTGCTGGTACCCAATGTTTTAACATGGACGGTTCAAATATTTGAGATAACGCCCCTAAGAACTGGACGGCAGCTATTTATTCAAACGCCGCTCTTGCGTTACGTCTCTCGGAAGCGGACGCTCTTTGGAACAGGACGACAGAGCCACGGTAGCATGAAGGCCTTCTAGTCAACTAAAAAAAAGGTGCTCGTTTGGTACAATGACTGATAGTTCGTCTCTCGGAACCAGATGACAGAGCCACGGTGGCGTAGAGCTGAGCAGCGAGGTGACATTTGAGTCAACTCAGAAGACAAGACCTGATCCCTCGTCTCTCGGGGCCAAATGACAGAGCTACGGTAGCGTGGAGCCGCGCAAGCAAGGTGACATTTGCGTCGACGCATACCTTATCGTTCGTCTCTCGGAGCCAGACGACAGAGCCACGGTAGCGTGGAGCCGCGCAAGCGGCGAAGCCAACGTTGCGGTCCCCATGATTGGCTGACGCTAGGAGTAAATGGAACTCTGTTAAGGGGTGTCTGGCAGGAGGGGCTGAGACGACGAGAGAAAAAGCGAAGCACACAAAACGTGCCCAGCTGGCGAGATCAAGCTATCCGACCGGGCCGTGCTTTAGAGTAAACCGCGGTTGAGCGCTAGGCTCATGAGGCAACGCGCTACCAGATCTTGTATCAAATTCGAAACGCCGAAGCGAGATTCGTCGACGGAATAACGCGAAGGAAGAAAAGTGACTTTGGAGATTGCGACGGATAAAGCTACCATCAGTTGCGAAAGCCCGTCGTCATTTATCAAGCAGATGGACTTGGGGTGGGATTGTGCTAGAGGGTGGTGGTGGTCAGAAGGATAGGATAGCCACGGTCACACGGCAACCATAATCTGGAAATGTAGGAGCCCGTTAGGAGGACCTCGGAAAGTCCAAACAGTACTTATAGCGAAGCATGTTTCCAGTCCCTTCTCTACGGCGACTGCTGGAGATATGAATGATGAGCTGGAACCAGTACACTGCGTAGTTGATGTTCGGGCAGATTTGGATAAATTTGGCCCGCGACAATTCTGCCTGCTCCTCTCCTCCCATATTCCGAAAAAAGGAGCTTTTGACGTGGCAAATGTTTAAGGGAATGACGTGGCTAGCCGCTCTGATTTTCCACTCTGGCGACTTCGGGAAGCTACCGTTCCTCCACATAGGCTTTTCCCGAGCCACCGATGTGCCAGCGTGGACAAATATTCGTTACAAGGCCTGAGCAAAACGATTTCGTGTGCGGGTGTGTGGTGTAGTGCTTTTAGTATCGAAGAGATCTGTGGAATCTTTAGTAAACTTCAGTGCTATTTTGAGAATTTCATGTGCATTCATTCGCAATTGTAGGTTGGTCCAATGTAGACAGAAAAGGTGATTCCAAATACTTCTACTGTGGGTATACATGATACAGCATGGAACAATCCAGCTAATGAAATTCCTTAACATAGGCTAGCCAGATTAGCTGCAACTAACATACCCAGCAGAAAGAAGAGCGCAGAGTACCTAGAAAACACCACCTATAATATGCCTCAATTCACTCTCGTCCAGTGCCTCAAATCGACGCACTACAGTGTCTCCCTTATCATAAGGCCGTGATGACTCTAGTGAGTGCTGACACTTAACGTCCAGGGAACGAGCGAGGTTCCAGATAAATCCCATGGACACTTGGAAGTTGGCGAGTTGATTGGGCGAAACGAGGCGGGGCGAGACGAGGCGAGGCGAGGTTATTAAACGAAGTGCTGATTCTGCTGCTTCCGCGACTCTATATGACTGATCCTCCGCTAGCAAAACCGACATCCCGTGCGATACGCAATACACGGTAGGCGGACTACGCCAATTGACCTCTGATGGTGAAATACCAATCCGACATTTTCTTCGGTGGCCACGTGATCTGCACGTAGTAGTCCGCCGGGGCTTTCGCTATAGCGGAAGCATTCGCTTTACTCAACTTCAGCTTCCCGGTGAAAACCTTAATCCGCCCGCGGAACCCAACCGACGACCATTCTCCTGTGATGTTCCGGCTGATAATCTGCCCATACAGCCCCTTCTTGCCCTTGTACAGCCCCACTCGCGTCCAGGGATCCCACGGGTTAAACAACGACGAGTGCTTTCCCTTCACCTTGCCCGTGACGTTGATTTTGCAGGAGAAGACTGGCGGCTCGACGGACGCCTTCTCCGGTTTCACCGCTGGGCCCGCGCTGGCCGACTTGACCGTTGCATTTACTTTGACATCAATTGGTTTCCCGTTCTGCGTGAGGGTCCAATCGAGCGAGGCGTTCATCCCAAGGGCCTTGACGAGGACCGGGCCGTACCCTCCTTGCACCACGTTTTCTGGGAGAAGTTTCGCTGCGGTGGCGCCTGATAGGGAAAGTAGGAACGGACGAGGGAAAAAAAAAAAGAGAGAAAGGTAGTCAGGCAAGGAAAAGGAGGGGCGTTAAAGGAGGAAGGGGAAAAGAGTGAATGATGGTCACTTTGCACTACATGTGAGAAGGAATGAGGATGAGTTACGGGGTAAACGGAGGAGCAACGGGAGGCGCAAGTCACGCGCGGCAGGTGAGACGAGGATCATAAGTGGAGGAGGGGGTGGACGGCGAAGAGGATGGCAGCTTTGGCAAAGGGAAGTGGAGAGGACTGGAAGATACAGTGTTCGTGAAAAAAAGGGGCTCTGACAGGCTGTTGGAGATATTGCGCATGCCTTTCGACGGAAAGCAGGTTGTGGAGAGCGACGGATGGAAGTGGTATTTTTAGAGGGGAGATGAAGCCACGAGAGGAATGTTATATATCCAATGTCCAGGCTGGTTTTTTAGGTCACGCAATATGGTTCAATGCAAGTGACACTAAGGAGCCGGAGAGCAGATTATCTGACCACCAGGTCCAGGACAGCTTCGATGGTTTCCATGAGGGCGATTCTCCGCGTTTCAAAGCAGTCAAATATGAGAAAGTAGGATCAACAATCACCATGGAAACACGATGCGCCGAGGCAGAACAGTATCACTGCGAGTCCCACGGAAACCGCTGCATCCCTGGAAAGCGACATGTCTATCGTGAAGCTACCAGCCTGCTGGATAAATTCTCCCGCTCAAGCGGGTCTACGATGGGTTGGGTAAACCAGGGCTGCGAGTCTAAGTTTCCCAGCGTGCTCACAGAGTCGGATGTTGGGTGCTGCTGCTCTAATGCTGGAAATGGCGCTGAAGCTGGAAGTACGTGAAAGATGTGGTAAGGGCAATCACATGAGCGAAGTGATTGGGGCTGGGAATGTTGGGCAATGCGATCGTTGGAAGTGGTGGTACGAGGGGTGGAGGAAACGACGACCAGCTTGAGGGAGGGTTGTGTGCAGGTGAGCTTGACGAAACGCAGACGAACAATTACGACGGGGTTACGAGATGGTTTTCTCTCACAACTTGCCAGCTGAGCTGTTCGCGCATGGGTGTCACACTCGTGATGCGGACACCCACTAGAACTCGACGGGGAAACGACACCGAGGCGCGATCACCAAACATGAAGCACCGTGCGCGGTCCAGCGGATTCCCCGTTGATGTTCCTGACATGGGCGAACCGCAAAGTCGGCTAGGCGAAATGGGCTTTCAGCTGGGTGCGAATTTTGGTGATGCCGATTCGGACATGATAATGCCGCCAAAGGCATTTCGCAAAAAGTTGCCTAGTGACGGGCTTCAGTATATCGAAAGGTTATGAGCACAAAATCCTGAAAATTGCCTCTTGACAGTATGCGTTTGGGAACACAAAATTCTATATAGATATTCAGAGAAAAAACCCATACGAGTCAGCTATTAAAGAGTATATTCTGGGTGTTGTTGAACCCACCACAAATCAACGCTGCTTCGTCGCAGTGGTTGGTGAGACAGACGTGTCTGGTTTGGGGAAGGTGCGGAGGTTGTTTTGACTCCCGAGCCTAAGCTACTGCCCGAGCCTCCAGAACCAGCCTCAGATTGGGGCCTGTTTTGTGTGTTCGATTTCAGATTGGGGCTACTTGTAGTAGCTCGTAAAATGTTCTCTGTGACGCGGGATTTTGAAATCTGAACTGCTACCCAACACGCATTCGTGGCCAAAAGTTGCCCAGTGCACTCAGAATCACGAGACTCAGTCATCGCCATTTGGGGCCGTGCAGTGTAGAAACTACCTCCACATCGAGACTCGGTTTTGTGATGTGCATCAGCACAACCTCTACCTCTGGCAGTCACGAAGCAAATTCTCAATATGTGCCGCTTTGGAACGCGGCAGAACATACAAAACCGTGGTGCGTGAATCGAAAACGAAGCGCGGGAAAACCAGAGGAAACAAAAGGTGCAAGGCGAGCCTCTCGCTTCCAGCTCGCTCAATACCCTACCCAACCATCCCGGTGGTACAGCGGATCGCTGTACAGCGTACACAAACCTCATGGAACCGTTTTGAACCAGCTTTTTGGAGTTGCGCTTGCTATATTCGTCAGATTCTTGAACCAGTACAGTTCTCGCCTGTTGTTTCCTGAATTTTTTGCTGTGGAGACAGAGCATTCTGGGTAGGTGGGTTTGCAGTGAATTCCAGGTACATTAGCTGTGTGTCGCCGTCTCGTGGAATTTAGTCCCGCCGTTTCCTCGCGACTTTATTACCACCATGGCCATGTGGTTACTAATACTAATGTTTACGCTTGGCCTTCTCAGCTCGAGCATTCCACGAGCAAAATGCAGTTTCAATGTGGAAATGCAGAGCCTGGTGATTTCGTCTCCCGAAAACATCAAGGGGGAGTACCAAAGCGCTATAGCGAATTTCGGAACGCCTCAATACGGAGCATCTCTCCAGGGAGTGGTAATTTACCCCGATAAGGACCCGCAGATGTGCAAATCGTCGCGGAGTAACTACGGCAGGAAATCGTCCGCTGAGCTTCCTCACATTCTCCTCGTCGACAGAGGAGGTAAGCGTCTACTCGCTAGCCAAGAATGGAGCTTTAATTTTCAATAATTACCATGATTCTTCACAAAGTGTATAAACCCGCAGGTACTCGTAGTAAAAGAAGGGGTATAAGTCCGTTACAACAACTGTTCTTAGGGCTCGTCGTCCTCCTCTCCCTTTTCCCCTCTTCCCCCTCCGTTCCTCTCAGGGTGCTACTTCACGGAGAAGGTCTGGAACGCTGAGCTGGCAGGAGCATCTGCCGTCCTGATCGCGGACGACCAGAACGAGAATCTGATCACCATGGATTCTCCCGACGATGATCCCGAGGCGAAGCAGGCCGGCGATCTCATCAGCAACATCACCATCCCCTCGGCTCTCATCCAGAAATCCACCGCCAGCGCAATCAAATCCGCGCTGAAGAAGAAACAGACGGTCGTGGCGGCTCTTGATTGGCAGGAGTCGCTGCCGCACCCTGACGCGCGGGTGGAGTACGAGTTCTGGACCAATAGCAATGATGAATGCGGGACGAAATGCGAGATGCAGGCGAAATTCCTGGAGGAATTCCGGGGGTACGCGATTATCTTAGAGCAGCAGGGTTTCACGCTCTTTACCCCGCATTATATGACCTGGTTCTGCCCGGAAACCCTAAAAGAAACGCGGCAGTGCAAGTTCCAGTGCGTGAACAACGGCCGGTACTGTTCACCTGATCCCGAGGGGGATTTCGACAAGGGGTATGATGGGCGGCAGGTGGTGATTGAGAATCTGCGGCAGCTGTGCGTGTGGCGCGTGGCGAATGAGACGGGCGCGCCGTGGGTGTGGTGGGAGTATGCGGCTGACTTCAAGAAGCGGTGCCGCATGGAAGAGAAGCAGTACAACCAGGAGTGCGGCGAGAAGCTCATGACCGGCCTGGGTGAGTGTGTGTTTGTTGTGCTGGAATGGGGATGCTGGTGCTGCTCGTGGCATGTATAACAAGAAAGGTCGGGAGGCAGGGGGAGGGGGGAGTTGGTAGGAACGATACCGCATGGAGGAGAAGCAGTACAGCCAGGAGGGTGCCGAGAAGCTCATGAACGGATTGTGTGCGGGCGTGCATGAGCGAATGCATGTATGAGCTCAGCAGGCCTGACATAGTGACTGATTCCAATCAACCCGCTCCCCCACTCTACCCGTCTCCCCAACCTCCCCCCCCACACAGTTGTGGTCCCGTGCAAGGTGCGGGCGTGCATGTGCGGGCCAACAGGAATGCATGTATGAGCTCAGCAGGCCTGACATAGTGACTGATTCCAATCGACCCGCTCCCCCACTCTCCCCCTTTCCAAACCCCACGCCCTGTCACGTGTCGATTCATGGGCTGGCCCAACAGGACTGCTTTGAGACGTCTCAAAACTTTTGAGAATTCTCAAACGTCTCAAAACAACTCTGTTTACACGATCCATGGGTTAGCCCAACAGGACTGCAAGTTGTGTGTGCGCATGGGATCCAATCAAAACCCCCTCAACACCCCACCCCTCCTTCTCCCTCCTCTCTTCCCAACAGGTGTGGATCCGCAGAAGGTGCGCGCGTGCATGGGCGAGCCCAACAGAAACGCAGCCAACCCCGTGATGGAAGAAGAGCAGGAGGCTCAGGTGGGTACCTGGTATGGTAGCTCCAAACTAGACTATACCCATGCAAGGTACGCGCGTGCATGGGCGAGCCCAACAGGAATGCAGCCAACCCCGTGATGGAAGAAGAGCAGGAGGCTCAGGTGGGAGTTCCTTAGTGTCACATTCACGCCTGGCATACCCCTCTATTGACCGAGCTTTTCTAATGACTCAAACCCATATTTTATCCAACCCCATTCCTGCCACTCCCCCCACTCTGCCCCATCTCCGTCAATTCCACCACTCTGCCTCATCCCTCCTGCTCTTGCTGCTCTCCCCCCATTGTCCCCATCCCATCAGGTGGGCAAGCGTGGGAGGAGCGATGTTACCATGTTACCAACCATTGTGATCAACAATGTTCAATACAGAGGTAGGCAGTTGGTATCAGTTAAGAGGTCACTTCTGAGCTGATTGTGTCGCGTTTGTTACCATGTTACCATGATTGTGATCAACAATGTGCAGTACAGAGGTGAGTGGCCGGTGTTTGGCATTAGTAACGCGAGTCATTACACATGCTGCCACACTCACATGCCTTGTGCTCACACATGACAGCATGCCATGGTGATTGCATGTCTTGCTGATGTCATATTGTGCTGCTGTCATACTGTGCTGATGTCATGCATTACGATCATTCGTATGGATGGTGATGTCATGGCATGGTGATGGCATGTCATGGTGATGGCATGGCATGGTGATGGCATGTCTTGATGGTGGCATGTCATGATGGTGGCATGTCATGATATGGATGGCAAGTGCAGGCAAGCTAGAGGCCAAGGCAGTTCTCAAGGCGATCTGTGCGGGCTTTGAAGAATCCACAGAGCCACCCATCTGCCTTGGTGCCGGTATGAGCATGTGCAACGTAACACTCCATGCAATACTCAATTCAATATACCATTCTCTTTTGAAGTAGCTGCTGGTGACCAATCGATCATTGCCTTCTCCCGTGGTTTTTTTTCCAACCCGCCACGCCATCAGAGGTGCAAACTAACGAGTGCCTGACCAACAACGGGGGCTACCCCCATCCCCTCCCCCTTCCTTCCCCCGCCACCCTCCCACCTCCTGCCCCGCCACGCCATCAGAGGTGCAAACTAACGAGTGCCTGACCAACAACGGGGGCTGCTGGAAGGGGCACAATCTCACAGCCTGCAAGGTGCGCTTCGCTCTGATCTGAACCACATCCATTTGAGATGAGGTGTAATGTGCTGTCCTGTGCTGTGCACTCCTGTGCTGAGAGTGTGTGAGTCTGTCAACACATCTTTTGTCTCGATGTGTGGGCTGAGTCAAGGTTTGCTTCCGGCAATCCTGAAGGTTTGTAAGAGGGTTTTGAGGCGTCTCAATCCTGTAGGTTTGTAAGAGAGTTTTGAGGCGTCTCAATCCTGAAGGTTTGTAAGAGGGTTTTGAGGCGTCTCAATCCTGTAGGTTTGTAAGAGAGTTTTGAGGCGTCTCAATCCTGAAGGTTTGTAAGAGGGTTTTGAGGCGTCTCAATCCTGAAAGTTTGTAGGAGGGTTTTGAGTCGTCTCAATCCTGAAGGTTTGTAAGAATTCCCTCTCCCACTCTCTCCCCCTTCCAGGACACTTTCAGAGGCAGGGTGTGCGAGTGTCCCAAGGATCACATGTTTCCCTTTGCCCTCTCTCCCTCTATCTCTCTCTCTCCCCCCCTTGCAGGACACGTTCCGAGGCAGGGTGTGTGAGTGTCCCAAGGACCCTGCCACGGGGGTATATCTTACCGGGGATGGCTACACTAAGTGCGAGGGTGAGTACTTTGACAAAAAAAAATTCCCATAACCACTACTGTATTTCAGCCCACTTATCTTTCCGTCCTACTGTATTTCCCATAACCACTATTTTTTTTTTTTTTTTTTTTTTTTTTTTTTTTTACATGCTCTCGTGATTCATTCACTCCTTGCACTGCTCAACCCACGTGCTCTGCTCTCCCCATGCGCTCTGCTCTCCCCATGCTCTCTGCTCTCCCCATGCGCTCTGCTCCTCTCCTCACCCGCACATGCAGCGGCGGGAGTGGGTCGGTGCCTGGTGGGCAACGGGGGATGGCAGGGGGGTCCTTCATTCACGTGTTGTGTTTCCCTCCCCACCTGACCTGCTCTGCTCTCCCCATTCCCATGTTCTCTGCTGCTCTCCTCACTTGCACGTGCAGCGGCGGGAGTGGGTCGCTGCTTGGTGGGCAACGGGGGATGCTGGCAGTCCACCCACGAGGGAAAGACGTACACCGCCTGCCATGTGAGTTGCTGCTGTGCTGCTGCTGCTGGTGCTGCTGGTGCTGGGTTGCTGTTGTGCCTGCCTTGTGAGTCGACTGTGAAGTGGGCAACGGGGGATGCTGGCAGTCCACTCACGAGGGAAAGACGTACACCGCTTGTCATGTGAGTTGCTGCTGTGCTGCTGCTGCTGCTGGTGTCTCTCTTTTCAAGCATTGGAGTGCTAATGCTCCTTACCTCCGATTTCTCCCCTTTCACCGGCCATTTCTCCAAGCAGGACAGCTCCACCTCCCCCACCACCTCCTGTGTGTGTCTGCCGGGCTTTCAGGACAACGTGCATCACTGCAGGAAAATCAACGAGTGTACACACTGCAACCTGACTGCAAGTTTTGAGGCGCCTCAAACAACGGCCACCACTGCGGGGACATCAACGAGTGTGCACGCGTCTTGACCTTCCCCTTCCCCCCATCCCCCTACTACCCCATCCCTCATCCCCCACCGACCCCCCGCTCACACCAAGCAGGACAGCTCCACCTCCCCCACCACCACCTGTGTGTGTCCGCCGGGCTTCACAGGCAATGGGCATCACTGCAAGGACATCAACGAGTGTGCGCCCTCACACCCTCTTTCCCTTCTCTCCCCTCTTTCTCCCCGCTTCTCCTCCACCCCACTCCCCCTCTCTCCCCCCCCCCCCCCTACTCCCCACGGCCTTCCCCCAAGCAGGACAGCTCCACCTCCCCCACCACCACCTGTGTGTGTCCGCCAGGCTTCACGGGCAACGGCCATCACTGCAAGGATATCAACGAGTGTGCCCCCTCGCACCCCGCCTGCAAGTGCCCCGAGTGCAAGTGCCGCAACACGTTCGGGTCTTACGAGTGCTCGTGTGTGGGAGAGGATATGGTTTATATCGACCAGCTTCAGGCTTGCATCAGTAAGTGGCTTACGATTCGACTGATTTGTTATTCCCTTTGAAATTTACGAGCTTGGTTATGGTCGTATGTGTGCTCATGCGTCGTTCGTAATGGAGTACCTTATTGGCCCGAGTGCTTGTTTTCGCGTCTCTTTCACGTCTCACCGCATCTCTCTCTCTTTCACGTCTCTTAGCACTCCCCGTGTATATCTCTCTCACACGCATCGGGCAGGGTATCTGAGGGCTCAGCCCGTGCTCGTACCATCTGTGGTGGAGTAGTGGCCTTTGAGTTGGCCTTAATCCCTGTCTTCATGCTCTCCACTTCAACTCTCTCACATCACATGAATAGAGCTGCCCCTTATCCTAGTTTTTAACACTCCCCACTCCACCCCTCTCACACACATCAGGCAGGGTATCTGAGGGCTCAGCCCCGACTCGTACCATCTGGGGTGGAGTGGTGGCCATAGTGTTGGGCTTCATTGCCGTTTTTGCAGTCCTGGGATATTTAATGTACCAGTACCACCTTCGGGTAAGAATTCCAACTTCACCATCAATTTCTCTATTACTGTGTAAGCATGTGCGAGGCCCTTTGATCTGGTTTCGCACCTTTCGTTTCATCCAGTTTTATGAGTCTGTTGCAGCGCATGTGTGTATGATGATTGCTTATGTTTTCCTTTCTGACATGTCTGGCTTGTGTTACGTCCAGACACATGTTGATTCCGAGATTCGGGCCATCATGGCGCAGTACATGCCGTTGGATGAATCGGACGAGCTTCCAACGGACGTGATCGGCGAGAGCCTTGTGCGGATGCAACAGTCCAACAACTAAGCTGCAGCTTATGAAACCGTTGAGTGTTAATATTGTGTGTTTCAAAACCTAATGCTATGTAGTTTGTGACAGGCTATTCGTCAGGAGTACACGTGTTTGTTCGTGTAATGAAACCATTACTGGCTGCATCTGTTTGCGACGAATCGCTGATTGTGAAACACGAGCCGCAGAGGCAGCGAGGAGCTGGATCAGCAGACCTGCGAGCAGGTAAACGCTGGCTTGGGCTTGTTGTGACGAATCACCAACTCCAACCTCCAAAAATCCACGTCACCTCCCACGAATGGTTGTGAATTTCCGAGACTCCTTGAGGGTGTCTTGGTCTGCCTGATACTGGCACTTGAAATCACCTCGTTCAGTGTAGCTAAATTCACGGAGGTCCAGAGCGGTAAGTATCTATTTATATTATTTATCTGGAGAATCGCACTGAACCAGAGAAAATATTCGAAAATATTCAGGAACCGCATTTTGAGATTGGCGATACACTCACCCAGCCAAGTGATGAGGCTGACAGGCAAAGCAGCGGACTCAGTAACCATGAATTCCATCTGAAGAAGCCTGAATAGCCTGTTACAGCCGTGGTTTCAGCAGGAGCGGCAGTCGCAACGGCGGAACGCTTCTGCGACAGACTGCCCGAGCCGTGGCCCTCTTTGCACCCTGTCAATAAGAGATATTATCATTCTGTGCTGCCGCTCATAGGCGACACGCACAGCTTGTCCTGCCGAGCTCTCAGATAGGTTCATGCTGTTGCTGTTGCGCTGACAAGCTACGACTCCGAGAATCGTACGCAATATTAGACTTCGAAGCGGGGACTCGCGTCTCTGCATTTTGGGTTGTCGGCTCTCGCATCCGTTTGAAACGACTCTTTCTGAAAATTTTCCATTAGTATGGCGAGCCGTGCGTTAGCTGCTGCTGTTGCACGCCGAGGATTTCGCGAAAGTGAGCGAACGCTTCGAAAACTATCTGGTTTGGCTCCGCTCGTTACAGCCTCAACAACTCAGGACGCTGCTGGAATCGGACAGACGAGAAGCTTCGTGAGAAACTTCACGTTTTCGCCACATCAGCGACAGGTGAGATGATTGTTCTCATTTTGCTTTCTCGCGCCATTTTCATGTATCAGGCCCTTCTATTACCGTTTCTTATCAGTTACTACAACTGTCTTTCCTTTGCTAAACTTTCTCCTACGTTGTTGCTCGCTGTAACATGTCTCAAGGTCCTTCACTTACTGTTTCTCACTCTCAAACTGAAGTTCAGAAATCTGGTCCTTCCATTCTGTTGGATATGCAAGGCTGCTTCTGACACGTATGCATAGTGTGACACCCTCTGAATCTCTGGTTTCACTCCACAGGAGCCCAATCTGTTGTCAGCCACCACGTCGGCCTCCACGTCAGCTGCCACGTCATCATCAGCAGCAGCAGCAGCAGCAGCGGTGGCGGTATCTCACGAGTTTCCAGGCGCGCGCATGGCATTCACTTCTGATCTTCATTTCGTGCCGGAGCTGCCAGAATCGCCAGTGCCGTGCTTCCGAGTGCTGGACCACGAGGGGGGGCTCGTTGAAGGCGCCGAGGAGCCCGAGGTGAGTGAAGGAGGGAGTGAGTGGCGGAGCGAGTGAGTGATTGAGTTAGTGAAGGAGTGAATGAGTGAGGGAGGGAGTGAGTGAGTGAGTGAGTGAGTGAGTGAGTGAGGCCATCATGGAGCTGCAGGCAACTCTTTCCCTCCCCGTCCACTACAGCTGCCCTGTCAATCCTCCTATCCACGCCAACCGCCCAAACATACCCTCTCGCACCTGTCTTTCCTACAGCTCCCTCGACAAGAAGCAGAGCGTATGTACGGAGCATTGGTGTAGCTGCAGGCCATGGACTCGGTACTCTATGAGGCGCAGAGGCAGGGGCGCTTCTCCCCACGCCATCGCCCTCCCCTCCTTACCACTGCCCCCTCTGTTAATCCGTCCGTCCAGCTGAATCAGTCTGAGGCAGAGTGCATGTACGGAGCAATGGTGGAGCTGCAGGCCATGGACTCGGTGTTCTATGAGGCGCAGAGGTAGGGGCGCTTCTCCCCACTCCCTCTCCCTCCCGCTCCTCTAACCTCCCTGTCAATAACCCATGCCAGCTGAGCCAATCCGAAGCAGAGCGCATGTATGAAGCGATGGTGGAGCTGCAGGCAATGGACTCGGTGTTCTACGAGGCGCAGAGGCAGGGGCGCTTCTCGTTCTACATGACCACGGCGGGGGAGGAGGCCGTTAACATCGCCTCTGCTGCCGCCATTCACGCGCATGATCATGTGTTCGCACAGGTGCGTGTGGTTTCTGGGCTCCAGAGGCATTCTTTCTAGCCTTCTTTCCCTCTCAAGGGGCGCAGAGGCAGAGGCAGAGGCAGGGGCGCAGAGGCAGGAGCGATTCTCGTTCTACATGACCACAGCGGGGGAGGAGGCCGTTAACATCGCTTCTGCTGCCGCCATCCACCCCCACGACCACGTCTTTGCTCAGGTGCGTGTGGTGTTCCTCTCTCTTCTCCCCAATTTCACTCCCGGCTGGTGTTGTAAGGGGTTGAGAGGCAGGGGCGCTTCTCGTTCTACATGACCACTTCCCTTCTGGCTCTTCCTCCCCGCCCTCCCCCTTTGCCTGGCAGTACCGAGAGCCAGGGGTGCTGTTGTGGGGGGGCTTCTCCCTCCCTGACTTCGCCAACCAGTGCATGGGCAATCACCTTGATGCGGGCAAGGGGCGCACAGAGACCACAGCTCAAACAGACTCCCTCACTCTCCTTCCACTTCCCCCTTCCCGTCCCTCTCCCTTTCCCTTCAGTACCGAGAGCCAGGGGTGCTGTTGTGGGGGGGCTTCTCCCTCCCTGACTTCGCCAACCAGTGCATGGGCAATCACCTTGATGCGGGCAAGGGGCGCACAGAGACCACAGCTCAAACAGACTCCCTCACTCTCCTTCCACTTCCCCCTTCCCGTCCCTCTCCCTTTCCCTTCAGTACCGAGAGCCAGGGGTGCTGTTGTGGGGGGGCTTCTCCCTCCCTGACTTCGCCAACCAGTGCATGGGCAACCGCCTGGACAAGGGCAAGGGCCGCCAGATGCAGTAAAGTGTCTCTCACTTCCCTTCTGGCTCTCCTCCCCCGCCCTGCCCCTTTGCCTGGCAGTATCGCGAGCCAGGGGTGCTGTTGTGGCGGGGCTTCTCTCTCGCTGACTTCGCCAACCAGTGCATGGGCAACCAGCTAGACGCAGGCAAGGGGCGGCAAATGCCCGTGCACTATGGGTCTGCGGAGCTCCGATTCCACACCATTTCGTCCCCCTTGGCGTGAGTGGCTCAAAGTATCAAAGGTTCATCTGACAAAGGGGGGGCAACCGGCTGGACGCAGGCAATGGCCGCCAGATGCCCGTGCACTATGGGTCTGCAGAGCTCCGATTCCACACCATCTCCTCGCCCCTTGCGTGAGTGGTGCTCTCCCCATATTAATTCTGTTTGTTTTATTTGTCAAGGGAGGGAGGATGCACTTGGTTTTCAGGAGAGCAAGGCTATCAGATGCTGGTGGATTATGGGATCCTTGGAGCTCCGCTTCCTCTCCTGAAATCAAATCAAATCCACACCCTGTCAGACGCTTCCACAGCATCTCCGCGCCTCCACTCCAACCCTCCCTTTCACTATCTAAATCAACTCCCACCCACCAGAACGCAGATCCCCCATGCATTGCATTGGGGGCGGCCTATGGGCTCAACATGGCAAACGAGGGGTTGCTTTGTGGCTTCTACCGCATTCCATCCCACCTCACCTCACCTCCCCGCCTCCCTCCGACCCTGTCTCCCGTGTTGTATATCTCACCCCAACCAGCACACAGATCCCCCATGCAGTGGGGGCGGCCTATGGGCTCAAGATGGAGGGCGAGTGATGCTGCTCCGTGACTTGCTTTCGTGCCTCCCTAGCCCACTCCCTCCCCCTCAACTCCGTCTCCCCTGTTTCCTGTTCCCCCTGGAGCACCAGCACGCAGATCCCGCATGCAGTGGGGGCGGCCTAGGGGCACAAGATGGCGGGCGAGGGGTGCTGCTCCGTGTATTCCACCGCATTCCACCCCACCCCACCCCCCCGCCTCCCTCCGACCCTGTCTCTCGTGTTCTCATTCTCACACCCACCAGCACACAGATCCCTCATGCAGTGGGGGCGGCCTATGGGCTCAAGATGGAGGGCGAGGGGTGCTGCTCCGTGGCTTACTTTGGCGAGGGCGCTGCAAGTGAGGTGAGCAGCGAAGGGGTGACAAAATGATACAGTGCGGTAGTGTGCGGTCTCGCGTAGTTTCGTGTGACAGTGAGGGATGCTGCTCTGTGGCTTACTATGGGGAGGGCGCTGCAAGTGAGGTGAGCAGCGAAGGGGTGACAACATGATACAGTGCGGTAGTGTGCGGTCTCGCGTAGTTTCGTGTGACAGTGAGGGATGCTGCTCTGTGGCTTACGTTGGGGAAGGCGCTGCAAGTGAGGTGAGAACTCTGAGAATGACCTGTGGTGACGCCTGTAGAAGGTGCATTCTGCATTCACGCGTGCTTGTTTTCTCCTGATTGGACAATTTTTTACCATATGTTCCCACGTGTGCCCACGTGTGCCCACGTGTCCCATTGTGCCAACTCTCAGGGCGACTTTCACGCAGCTCTCAACTTCGCAGCAGTCTTGGAAGCACCTGTACTCTTTATATGCCGCAACAACGGCTGGGCTATAAGCACGCCCGCTAAGGAGCAGTACCGAGGTATGTCATATCCGATGCTACGATATCTTTTCTGAAGCACCACTACACCATGCTCCTGAGGAAACATGGTCACATAACATAACATCTACCTGAAGGTTAGAAGATAACTTGCTTCTCCTTCATGAAATTTCAAACAATCATCACTGTAAGGTACAAGAATGTTACTGGTTTTATAACAGTATTCGGCCTTACATGATGAGATGACTTTTGAGTCGACTCAAAAGTCACCTTTTGATAACAGTATTTGCATGATGCAAATGATGCATCAGTCGACTCACATGATGCATTCCCTCCCTAATTCCCGTTCCTTTTTCTCCTCCTCTCAACACCCCCCCGGCCCCCACAACCCACTCTCCCTCTCACTTCATGAATTTCAGGTGATGGCATAGCAGGGCGAGGGGCGGCATACGGCGTCTCTAGTGTGCGGGTGGACGGCAATGACGTGCTGGCAGTGCTGAGAGTGGTGAAGGAGGCGAGGGCGAGAGTGGTGGAGACAGGGAAGCCCATTCTCGTGGAGGTGAGGTGGAGTGCAGTGATGTGTGGTGTACTGTGGTGAAGTGCAATGAAGGGCGGTGGAGTGCGGTATAGTGCAGTGAAGGGCGTCTCTAGTGTGCGGGTGGACGGCAACGACCTGCTGGCGGTGCTGCGGCTGGTGAAGGAGGCGAGGGAGCGAGTGATGCAGAGGAGAACCCATTCTCGTGGAGGTGAGATGCAGTGCAGGGAAGATTGGTGTACTGTGGTGAAGTGCAGGGAAGGGTGGTGCGGTGCTTTGCGGTGATGGTGGTGGGTTTTCACCAAAAGTCAGAACTCATGTGCTGGTGGTGTTGTGGGTGAAGGAGGCGAGGTTGAGAGCGGTGGAGACAGGGAAACCCGTTCTCGTGGAGGTGAGATGCAATACGGTGAACTACGGTGAAATGTCGCGTACTGTGGTGAAGTGCGGTTATGTGCGGCGGAGATGGTGCTCTAGCGCACACACGGCGACCTCTGCCTTCCTCCCCTCTTCTTCGCTCTTCCTCTACCCACTCCCCCCCCTCTTCCCTCCCTCTGCCCTACCTACCGTTCCACTACCTATCCTCCCTTCACTCTCTTTTCTCTCACCTTTCCCTCAACATTGCCCCTCTCCCTCCCTCTCATCACTCCCCTCTCTTCCCAGGCCATGACATACCGCACGGGGCATCATCACAGCACGTCAGACGACTCGTCTCGTTACCGAGGAGCTCGTTACCGCGGGGCGGGGGAGATGGCACACTGGCGCACACAGAGAGATCTCTGCTGCCTTGCCATCCTTCGCCATTCGTCCACCCTCTATTCTCTTCCCAGGCCATGGCATACCGCACGGGGCGGGGGAGATGGCGCACTGGCGCATGCAGAGGGACCCCTATCCTCAACCCTCCCTTTACCTTCCCTCTACCCTATACTCTCCGTCTACTCCCCCTTTACCCTCCATTTACCCTCTGTTTTCCCTCGTTTACCCTCCCGCTATCCCCTATCACTCCTCCCCTCGTCTCTACAGGCCATGACATACCGCACGGGGCATCACAGCACGTCGGACGACTCTTCCCGTTACCGCGGGGCGGGGGAGATGGCGCACTGGCGCACACAGAGAGACCCCGTGGCGCGCTTCAGGAGGTGGCTGGAGAGGCGAGGGTGGTGGGATGAGGAGCGGGAGAAGGCAGCAAGGGACACTGCCAGGGACGAGGTGAGTGCGTATGTGTGCTAGTTCATGCATGTATTATGAGGTTTGGAGGAGCCAGGGAGCAGGGGAGATGGCGCACTGGCGCACACAGAGAGACCCTGTTGCTCGGTTGAGGAGGTGGCTGGAGAGGCGAGGGTGGTGGGATGAGGAGCGGGAGAAGGCAGCAAGGGACACTGTCAGGGGCGAGGTGAGTGCCAGTGTGCTTGGTGCATGGTTGCATGTATCATGAGGTCTGGGGGGCTGGGGGGCGGGAGTGCATGTATGTGGTTGGGTGTGCATTTGGTGGGATCGTTGGGTGATTCTTCGACTGGTTTTATGGGTCATGCATGCATCTATGGCTCTCATTCTCCATCCTTTCTCACTCTGCCCCATTTCTTTGGCTCATTACAGGTGATTGCCGCACTGGAAGCTGCTGAGAAGCTCCCGAAGCCGCCTCTATCGGATCTAGTGAGCGATGTGTATGACGTCATTCCACTCCATCTGCAGGAGCAGGAGAGGGCGGTGCGCGCAGCCGTTATGGGGAACCCCCAGGCATATCCTGGTGATGTGCCACTGTAGATACAAGTGGCATGTAAAGTATGATGGTAATGCAGACTATACCATATTTGGGAGCAGGAGTGGGAGGTGTGCACAGCCATGATGAGGAATCCCCAGGCCAGGGGTATCCTAGTGACATGCTACTATAGATAGGCTGGGGTTTGTCATTTTGTACAGTTATTGCATCACCTACCTTTGATGTGACGTGGTTCGTGTATAGTGCACAAGCCGCTGTATATGGTACATTATATTGTGAACATAGTCTGTCTCTGCTTGTTTTGCAATCCTCCATGGATTTATGCACATGATTTATAGTTTCACGTCATTAGCCATATGGATTTGCCAACGATTATTAGCAACAGTCAGGATGTACAGCAGATAAATAAGGGTTCTGGTTAACCCGGCTTGCCTAAACTTCCGTGCCCTTTCCCAATACTACAAATCCAAAATTAGCACAAGGCTCATTAGCACCCCTTCTAGATGTAGTCCTCACATGCTCCCGAATCCACCACCTTATAGCAGCGTATACCGAGTCCACAAGGAAACACAAACGGGTACGAGATTGTGGATTCCGCCGACGATAAAAATGCCTCAGATTTTGCACGCCAGGTTAATTGTCGCAGAGCCCCTGCAAGGAATCACATACCATTCATAATAAGAGATCCAGAAGGGGCCTAGTCAGTAGAAAGAGGCACTTTCGATAGATGAGGTCCTGGGATCGAACCCACCCCCACGCAGACGTGTTCTGCCAACCCCAAGTAGGGGTCAGCATGTGCTCATCTGGGAATTGGATAACCCTTTTAAAAAACTGGTTACGACCAGAAATATAAGTTTAACTTTAACCATTCGTAATAAGAGGCGAGGAGGAAAATTAGGGCAAAAAGCGAGCAGGAAGACTGGGATTCGAAATTTGCAGGAAGATCAGGATACGAAACGAGCAGGAAGATTAGGATACGATTTTAGCAGGAAGATAAGGGTTTGTTCCGTGATTAAACAGGCTCCACATGGACACCAAGCTCGTTGCCCCTGTCGCATGTGTTATTCCATCGAAATCGATGGGATTCCGAAACTCGCAACCGTTGCAATCGTACCGGTTGGGAACATGGGTTGCCCAGAGTGGTGGAGCCGTCGGCTGAGTAGGCCCAGACGATGCGACAATGGAGTCTACTCAAAGGTTAGCTTGCTGCGGAGGATGCAAATAGTTCGAGCGTACCGGTTGGTACCGTGGCCACCTATCGTGGTGGAGCCGTCAACGGAGTAGGCCCAGACCATGTCGTTGCTGCCCTTGTAGTTGATCGGCGATAATCCCGACGTGCCGCTGCGAGTGAACCTGAGGGGCGTGAGAGGGAAGACACGCGCGATTAGAAATGATGAATCTTGCTTCTGCTATAAAAGCCAGATTTTCCTTGCTGCGGGATTAGCTGACAGCGTCATATCTGTAGCTTTTGAGTGAACTTGAACTAAGAGAGAACATTTTGGCAGTCTTCTATTTTTCCACGCTTCTGTCATACGTGCTGCTTCCCGCATTTCATGGCGGATGAATTGAGTACGAACAGGGGGTCGTAACAGCGGACAGGGTAAGAGTTAAGGGTTTCGAGGTTTCGGGTTTAATGGTTACTAGGAAACGTGAGAAGTATATGGAGGTGGCGGGCTTTCGGGTTTCGGGTATCCATGCGGGGGGTTGCTGCGCTCTATAACGGGAATGACCATATTCTGGAATGACCAGAATATGGTCGCTACTAGGACGACTCGCCTCGGGGTAACAAGCACTCCCCATGTCATCTAAACCAATGACATGCCTCAGCCGACGATCCTCGGGTGGTGTATGAGCCGGCCTTAAAACGCGACGAGATCATACCTCAGCCTACGTTCTGTATGCACGGTTTTTTCTCAGAATCCTAAAAAAATACAAGGTCCTAGTACAGCCCTACGCTCATCGGTAGATCCCCAACAAGAGTGACTTATATTGCCTCGATACGCACCTGATGACTGTAGACCTCGATTTCCGCGCTACAACTGCGCTCGTTACAGTAAAAGCGCTCGACTTCGCTACAGCACTGTAGCTGGTCATCGCGTACGGCTCGACTTTAGCCGGCTTGCTGCCCAGATTCCCGACGACGGCATCCGCGGGGTACATCTTCCCCGCGCTCTTGGTCCACCCGATCGCGACCCACCCCTTATTCGCGCCGCTGCTTGCCTGCGCGATTATCGCCGCGCGGAGCGTGTTACCGTACAGCACCTTCCAGTGAAACACGAGCCTGGCGTGCGTCGGGTGGGGAGGGCGACGGGAGGGAAGGGTTTGAGGGCCTGTGTTTCCGTTCACCAGGCGCGAGAGAAGGGTTTGCGACTATCGCCCACCCAGTCTATACAGCACGGCGGTTTGTCACGACCCGGTTTGTTACAATAACGGTGAATGAGTTAATTTGCATGAGTTTCGTGCAGTCATTCCCCGACTCGCACCCCAAGCATCTGTTCAATCAACATTTCCGCACATGTCCATTACGTCGTTTGAGACGTCTCAAAACCCCGGTGCCAGCGTGACTTTCTTGGCGAATCCAGCGGAGAAGGTCCAGCACGTACCCCGGTGCCAGCGTGACTTTCTTGGCGAATCCAGCGACGGGAGACCGGCTGCACGGCAGAGCAGCAGCGCTCGCGCGAACGGCGACTTGAGTCAACGGCAGTAGTACTGCTAGTTGCAGCAACGTGAAAAGTGCGGATTTCTGAAGCGCGAGAGCCATGAGAAACCAAGGGAAAGGATCAGAAGAACTGGCACTGCGGGCAATCGCAACTCACAAAGCAGCAAGTGTGGAGTGGAAGGGGCGGAAAGCAGAAAACTGGATCTCACAAATGCCAAGACTAGCCTCACAGCAGGAGCAGAAGAAGGCGATTATGCAACAAGAATTTGAAGTTGGTTCGCTCGTGTACACCATTCACGAACTGCTTGGGGGACAAGCTAGCAACAGCAGAACAGATGGTGGCCCCACCCGGCCCGCACGCCATTGGTGCTCTAGCAGATCACGCAGCGCGATTAGGCGGTGGCCCCGCCCGCGCGCGTCGCAGCGTCATTGCGCGTGGTCCCGAGTGATATTCCTGCCCCTTTCGACGTAACCTCGTCGAAATGGGCGATTGGCGAATGTTCGCTACTCGCGCTACTCTCTCAAACGAAAACCACAATTTTTTCGTTATGTTCGTGGAACTGCAGAGCAAATTGCCCAAGCCCCGACCAGTCTAGCCAATTCACGGCTGCGATCTCTCGTGCAATCCCCAGGTTCCAGCTGGCACAATAAACTCGTCAATGCTTGATGTGTGCTTTAGCAAACCAGCAGTTTTGGAAGTTGACGTGGCATTTATGATGATAAGTTATGCTGCCGGAAGAACCTGATTGGGTCGCCAAAGGGGTGTCAATGTCGGTGCCATCACCAGCCAGGTCCACGGCCCCAGCGTCGAGGACACGGAACAAACGGCTGGGCCCTGGGCGCCTTTTTTCGCGTTTACAGCAAAAGCTCACACACATGATCGTGTGTTACGGGTGCAATGAATCAAAGTAGCGAGAATTGCACTAAGGTGTCAAACGAGTACAAAATGTGAGCTAAGGCATGAGCGAACATTTATACGCAAAACATGCAAACGGTAACGCGGTGCATGCGAGCTAGCTAGTGCTACGCTGGCAGCGAGGCTCGGGCTAGTCCCGAAGTGTAGGCCGACCCGGCCGGGCCAGCAGTGCGAGTTTTGGTGAAACAGTGCACGCGAAGTCGGCGAAGCCCCGTTAGCAGTAACGGGCGAACAACGGCTGCTACTGTACGCGATGTTGCAGGGCGTGCTATGGAATATCGAGAAAATTCCTTACACTACCCCCCCTCCCCTCAATAACCCCCCTCCGCTACGCGAGTGCGTGTATATCGCGAAAACCCCGGCTCCTCATGTACACTTGCAGGGCAAAGTGGTTTTCGATGTTGGCCAAGGGCACCCAACTATCTTCAGTAAGCGTGCGATCCTTCCAGCGAACGAAGAATTCAATCCTCCTTAGTCCCATGGGGTGTCGAATCCAATGGCTCAGGATTTTTTCGGGCTCGATGATCGGCTCCGATGCAGGGCGAGTCATGGATGGCGGGCGGTGACGAGGCAGTTGGCTTGTGGTTGGGATGTATGGGCGAAGCAAGCTGACGTGGAATGAAGGGCTGATGTACCACTCCGTCGGCAACAATAGGTGGGCTGTCACTGGGGTAATTATGTGGCTGATTTGGAAGGGTCCACAGTAGCGCGGTCAAAATTTTGGTACGACGGGCAGTCTTAAGTTCTGTGTGTCGAGCAGTACGTAGTCTCCTGACTGGTACGTGACTGGGCGGCGGTGGCGGTCAGCGTCGCGCTTAGCGATGACATTGGATTTTTTAATTGCTTCTGCAGCTCTGGTGCGGGCGGCTTGTATAGTTTCGGCGAATTGCTGTGCACGTGGTGTCGGGTTGTCCGGACTTGGCGTCATGGGCACTATAGGGATTTGCCCGTAGTTCAGGTAGAAGGGGGACTGCTGCGTCGTCGCTGACGTGGCGTTGTTGTACACGAACTCGATCAGCGGCAGCTGCTGCTCCATCGTCTGATTCGTCCGCTCCGTTTGACCGTCGGTCTCGGGGTGGTACGACGAGCTGAACTGTAGCCTTGTCCCGAACTGCTCCCAAAGCTTTTTCCCGAAGTTGCTGGTAAACTTCGAGTCGGGGTCGCTGATTATCGCGGCTGGTATCCAGTGTAGTCGAACGACGACTACGATGAACATGCGAGCGGTTTCTTAGGTTGAGATCGATTTCTTGCACGCAGCGAAGTGTGCCATCTTCGTGAACCTATCAACGACGACCATAACTGTGCCGTAACCCCCAGGGTTCGAAGGTAACCCCGTGAAAAAATCCATGGTAACCTGCTGCCAGACGCGCTCAGGCGGTGGAATCGGCTGCAGCTGACCCGCCTTTCGCGAGCTCTTCATCACCTGACACGTAGGACACGAGCCCACGTGGTGCTGTACGTCGGTCAACAGCTCCGGCCAGTAGTAATACCGCTGCAGTTGCTGTCGCGTTTTTTCTACCCCGAAATGTCCCGAGGTGATCCCGTCGTGTACCTTCTGCAGTAACAGTTCCCTCAGTAATGAGTACGCGGGTACCCAGATGCGGTTGGTGCCAGTTTTTACGTAATAGACTCCTTTGGCTTTTGCCAGTTGCTGTGAATTTCCGGTCGTGAAAAACAGATTGGTAGTGTATCCGTGGGTGAATAGGCCTGTTAACAGTGGGTTGGTTTGGGCGAGTAGGATGGCGTGGAGTTGGGCGGCGGGGCGAGTGAGTGCGTCGGCGATGTTGGATGCGCCTTTTTTGTACGTGACCGTGTAGAGGAAGTTGGACTCCAGATAGTCCAACCAGCGGATATGTCGTGGGTTGAGATTCGGCTGGGTGCGAAGGTACTGTAGGGATCGGTGGTCTGTCCGTACTGTCTCGTCTGCTCCCATGAGGTAACATTGCCACACCTTGAACGCGTGTACGATCGCCAGCATCTCGCGGTCGTGTATCGGGTAGTTGCGCTCGGGCGGGTGAAGCTTGCGGGACTCGTACGCGACTGGCTGGATGCCGTTCCTGAAGTCCTGCAACAGAATTGCTCCCACATCGATGTCGCTAGCGTCGGTGATGAGCTCGAACGGACGGTGCGGATCTGCGATATGAAGCACGGGTGGCGAGCACAAAATATTTTTGAGGGCCGAGAAGGCAGCTTGCTCTGTCTCCCCCCTCGTATACTCAACCCCCTTCTTCAGCAAGCCGGTCAACGGGGCAGTCAACTGCGCCATGTTGCTGACGAACTGTCGCACGTAGTTAACAAACCCCAGAAAACTCTGCAACTGAGTCAAGTTGGTCGGCGCATGCCATGCTTGAATCGTCGCGATCTTTTTCGAGTCTATTTCCACTCCTTCAGCAGAAATAATGTGTCCCAAAAACTCCAGTCGGTCCTGTAAAAACTCACACTTAGAAGCTTTGGTCAGTAGGCGGTTCTCACCCAGTTTCTTAAAAAATTCTTCGATGTCGTGTAAGTGTTGTGCTCTGTCGGGGCTGTAAATCAGTATGTCGTCCAGATACACGATGACGCACTTATCTAAAAGTGGGCGGAAGGCTTCGTTCATGGTCATTTGGAAAGTGGCAGGGGCGTTGGTCAGTCCGAAGGGCATGACGGTGTATTCGAAAGATCCATAGCATGTTTGAAAGGCTGTTTTGGGGCAGTCGAGTGGGTTGACGCGAATCTGATGGTAACCTCCCCGAAGGTCAATTTTCGAGAAAACTCGGGCTGTGCGTAGTTGGTCGATCAGTTCGTCGGCTCGCGGAATGGGGTAACGGGATTTTATGGTAACCCTGTTCAGTGCTCTATAGTCTATGCATATGCGAAAACCACCGTCTTTTGTCGGCGTGAACAGTATCGGTGCTGCGAAGGGTGATGAACTAGGGCAAATGAACTCCTTCTCGAGTAGGTAATCTAGCTGCTTCCTCAGTTTGTCCAGTTTGGGTTGGGTCAGTCGGAACTGTCGCTGTACCGTTGGCTGTGCCCCCGGTTCTAGTTCTATCCTGTGGTCGTGCGATCGCTGAGGTGGCAGTCCTGTCGGTAGGTCGTCCGGGAAAATGTCACTGTACTGCTTCAACTGTGCTGCCAGATCACCCGGTACGTCGGCTAGCAGTTTCTATAAATACCCCCCTTTGTCTGCTGCCTCGGCTTCCCGAATGTCAACCGCGTACACGCCAGCCCCTGTCGCTACGGCGCGTTTCATCGTAGTCGCGTTGACACACACCGACGAAGACTCAGGCGAGCCCCAGCGAGGTAAGGCGATGTTGTTACCGTTCACTCGCACGGTGCAGTCACCCGTCGTCCTGTCGATTCGCGGATTGTGTCGTCGCAGCCAATCACGACCGAGTAAAATGTCGGTTCCGTCGAGGGTCATTGCGAGCATTTCCTGGCGAAACGTGAAGTTACCCCCGCATGGTATCCGAACCCGGTCCACATGTTCCCGTATCGCCAGTGGCGTGCCGTCGACCAGTCTTGCGTCGATCTCAGGTAAGCATCTGTCCAGTAGCAGTCTCAACTTTCGTGTTGTGGCAATGTTGAGAAGGCTGTGGCTGGCCCCTCCGTCTACGAAGATCTTTACTAAGTTTGTCCCGATTTTCCCGCTAAGCAGTATGGGGCTGTCTACCGTAGTACCCTCCTTATTCGGCCGGGTGTGGTCAATTGTGTGAACCGGCACAATCACTCGGTGAGGGTCGGGCGAGCGGCGTGACCTGTCAGTAGAGGGCCCGTCTGCTACTGGCTCCCAGCGTTTCCCTGCTGCTTGGTCTGTTTCTACTGCTCAGCTTCCCCCTTTCCATTAGAGTTTTCTAGGCATTCGCTCTTACCGTATCGCGGCCGATTGCACGCAAAGCAGCGCCCTTTGAACGGTGCGATAGCGGCATTTGCGACGACGGCACGTATCGTAGTGCCCTCGTTCGTCCCACGAGGCCGATGTCCCCAATTGCTGCTTCCGTAGGACCCCGGTCTTAGTCGGCGGAAAAAATCGAGCTGCTCCGCCATAGCGAGAATTTCTTGAAAATCGGTGACGCCGCGGAGCTGGATTTCCTGAGCGATGTCCTACTTCAGGCCGCCGATGTAGCGATCGATGCGCTCGCTCTCGTGCATGTATCCCACCTGCTCGCATAGCGTTAGAAATCCGTTTGTGTAGTCCTGGACGAAA